TAGCTAGGGGAAGTATCGACAAGATACTAAGTATACTTATAGAAGAGCCTATTACCGAACGAGATAGACTAGAGACAGAAATTTCAGCTCGCTTTATCCTTAGAGCTACTTGTTTAAGGACCCTATTATTAATAAGGACGGAGCCGGCTTTCTAAGCGGCCTAGCGAAGAATAGAGATACGTAAGGCCTAGAGAGTAAGGCAGTAGTATATAGTAACCGAAAGTCGGTTTAAATACTAGATACGCGTTCTAGCTAGGCTAGAGAAGGAGATATTAAAGTATTTACTATAAGCCTAAGATCTGAAGTAATTTGGTTTTTCTAATTTTCGTAGTCGGCAGGTATAGTCGGCAGGTATTATTAGCTATAGAAGGAGATGTCGAAGTACTTACCGTAAACTCCTAAATTAATTTGCTTTTTCCTAATTCTCGTAGTCGGCAGGTATAGTCGGTAGCTATTGTTAGCGAGTTTAGGCAGTACGGTATATACGAGGCTTATTACTGTTCCAGAAGCGCTTACTATGTTTATTCTATATCTAGAAGAGGTTTTACGTAATACCTATCGCAATACCTATTAGGTATATCTATTAGGTTTTTTCCGTTAGGTTGTACCTAGCTTATAAGCTAGGTACCTACCTTATTTGCGGGGTTGGGTATTAACGTTAGGTTGTACCCAACCTATACCTAACCTAACCTATAACGAGGCCTAACTATAACCTAGCTAAGGGTAACAACTTCCGCGGTGCCGGTAACGCCGAGACTATTATTAACGCGCTGCTCGGTATACTCGTTACGCTCGGATTCGAATATAAGGGCCGTTAGTTATTTACTACTAATCTATAGACTAGTAGTACTACGCGGGTAATACTTAAGCAGCTTGTTTACTAGTAGCTATATATAGCGCGCTTTACTACGCGATTCGTACCGGACTATAGCTTCTAGATAGACGCTACGTTTAGTACTAATCGTACTAGTCTATTACTAAGGGTATTTATAGGGATTACTAACACCGGACGGTTATTTCCGATGTGTTATTTACTAATAAAGTTAGAGAGTAAGGATAATTAGCTGTTTATACTACTTGCCGTATTCAACAACTATCTACGTAACTGTCGACTTAATAAAGTAATTGTCTTAGATACTAGGGCCGGCCTAATTGTAGCTATTCCGGAGTTACTATTTCAGCGCTGTATTTAGCAATTCTGTTAATAGTACGCTGCTTAAAACCTTTACAAGCGTATCGATAAGGGTGCCGTACGCGTAGTACGTACCGAGGCCGCCGATAGTAAGGTACGCTAGGCTACTATTGTAGCTGCTAACGACGAACCGACCGTACCGACCGAATCTACTATACGAATCGACGCGCTAAGACGTACGCGAGCTCGTAAACTAGGCTATAGCGCCGAGCAGAAGACGGAACTGAAAGCGCTTATATAGCCGTAGCTGCAAGCGGATATAGCCGAAGCCGCCGATAAACTCGAGGCGGCTATTATCGACGGAATAATAGCGGAGGATGCCGAGTACTTCCGTAATACGTACGTCGTTATTAAGCAGCGACTAGTTACGTATTATATTAAGCATTTACCGAATAATAGAGCTCGCTCGTTATAGCGCGCGGAACGCGGCAACCGCGGCGTTAAGGGGTATCTGCCGCCGTACTTGTTACTAAAACAGTACGTTAAGGGTATTAAGCAATATCTAGATAAGCTGTTTAATAATTTGGAACGATTAGAGGAAAATACGTATACTAGCTTACTACTATAGGCCGTAGCGGCTAATAATCTCGGTTACTTCGTATAACTTAATAGCTAAGTTACGATATAGACAATCGATAGGTTACTAGCTTTATAGTATAACGCTCTCGGCATCAAACGTACGGTAGACAAGGCTAATTATACGCGCTCGGTAGTAACGGCAGAGCTATATCTAGTACGCGATTACTATACGGAATACGGGGAAGTTAAACAATATAGCTTGCTATATAGCTATATACTATTACCTACGGTAATTAAGCGGAAGGTAATAGCTCGTAGTCTACTATACCCCTGTTACTTTACGAGCAATCGTTCAGTTTACGCTAGTAACGCTATATAGTAGACGCTAAAATAGTAGAATCAATACGACGCCGCGACGGATAGACTACAAGAGTTATTACCGTAACGCGCGGATAGTTATAATCGTATACAGGCTTCTATACTACGCTAGTTAAGTTACTTACTATTACTACGAGCCGCGGACTATAACTCCTATACAGACAAGCTCGAAGCCTTCGAAGCCGTCTATTTAAGCGGCCTATAGGCTACTTAAAGTAACCGTTCTAAACCGGAGGAAATACTATTTGCGGTACCTACGAAACCGGCTTAGCATCTACTACTGCCGAGGCTGCCGAAGCGCGGCAATAAGACGACTAATAGGCTTATAACGAGTACGGAGGTAGCTAGTAAAGATGTAGAATCAGCTAAGAAGGCTGCTACCGTCGCTTTATACGCCGAATTCGCGGCTTAGTAGCGTGCTATTAACGTACTATAGACAGTCGAACGTAACGAGACAGCCGAGGTTAATACTAAGCTAGCGGCGCGTAGCCGTAGCCGTAGACGCGGCCGTAGACGTAGACGGCCGCGCAGACGCGGCTGTAGTGTTATATATAGTAAATCTGATAGTTTGGGGTTAGGTAACGATCGTGTAGTCGAGACTAACGACTTGGCGTTAGGTAACGGTCGTACAGTCGATAGTAACGCGGCTAGGGGTCGTTAAACGCGTAATATAGGGCGTAAAGTAGTAGATTATACAGTGTTAAACGGTGCTTTGCGTAGGTAGGTAGTTAATATATATGTATTGTAGCAGTAAGTGATGTTCAACCGGAACTACGTTAATCCGCGCCGAGGCTTAGTCATTCCGAGTGTCCTTTGAAAGTGTCCTGCTCCTTGACTCTTGCGGCCTATCTACTAGGTACCGTCCTCTCCAGGATAGCGCATATCATCCCCGGGCGACGGCATCCTGCAACAAGTGAATGCTATCTTGCCGACTATATCTATATCGCTGTTGAGGTCGACCGTTTAAAGAAAAGAAATTGAAAAAAAGGAAAGAAAAAAGAGTGATCACTTCACCCTCCCTTCATCAGCGAAAAGAAAAGAAAAGAAGAAGAGAACAAACAAAAACAAAAATGACCAGCCCCGAACCCATCCCTCTCGACCCCCGAGTCGCCAGAGTCCTCCAAACCACGCCCCTCTTCGACGGCCACAACGACCTCCCCATCCAACCACGCTGCATGTTCCACGGCAAAATCCACTCCAACCCAGCCTTCGACCTCGCCCACGGTTTCACGCGCGGCATGACCGACATTCCCCGTCTACGACAAGGACACGTCGGAGCACAATTCTGGAGCATCTGCATCCCCTGCCTCCGATCCGCAGACGAAAATTTCTCTCTCCCGGAATATAACGACATGGCACGTGATGCGATTGAACAGATTGATTTGACGATTCGATTAGTACAGAGTTATCCCGAGACGTTCACGTTAGTTTTTCGCTCCGAGGATGTACGAAGCGAGTACGGCAAGGGGAAAATTGCGTGTTCGATGGGCGTGGAAGGGTTGCATGTTGCAGGGAATAGTATTGGAATGATTCGAGCATTTTATCAATTAGGGGTGCGATACTGTACGTTGACGCATGTGGGAAATAATGCGTTTGCGGATTCTTCGACGGCGAAAATGGGGGCGGTGCATGGAGGGTTGTCGAAGTTGGGAAAGGCGGCGATTCGGGAAATGAATCGGATTGGAATGATTGTGGATTGCTCACATGTTTCGGAAGATGCTGCGAGACAGGCGTTGGAGTGCACTAGAGCGCCCGTGATGTTTTCCCACTCGAATGCGAAGAGTGTGTTTGACTGCGCGAGGAATGTGTCTGATGCTGTGCTTGACTTGATCCCTCGCAATGGCGGAATCATCATGGTGACTTTTGTTCCCGAGTTTGTTGCCACGAGAAGGCGGGATGCTCGTCTGGAGGATGTTGTCGATCACTTGTTTTATATCGCGAACCGCATTGGCTGGGATCACGTGGGGCTGGGCTCGGATTTTGATGGCATTGCCAGCGTCATTCCGGGACTGGAGGACGTGAGATGTTATCCGGCACTGTTGAAGGTCATCTTGGATCGTGGCGCGACGGAAGAACAGCTGGCGAAGGTCGCCGGCGAGAACATGCTTCGTGTGTGGCGAGGCGTGGAGGAGGTTCGAGATCAAATGCAGGCGGAAGGGGTTTTGCCAGTCGAGGACGTGTGGGAAGGCCGGAAATGGTGGCGATATGATGGGGTGAGTGTTACTCTCGTAGGGTGCATATTGCTAGGAAATAATGACTGACCAGAGTGCAGTATTATCAGATGCCTGATCCAGATCCCGAGGACAAGCTCGGACTGGGCTTGTATGGTATCCCGCAGCCTGAGCAGGGCTTGTATCACGAGAACTAATGAAAGCAAAGCGGCTTGCCGAAGAATCAAGAGGGGATATCCGAAGGGAATCGATACCTTCGGGAAGGGATCAATGGCCGGCGGTGCGGACGAGCTGAGAAATCTCGCCTCAATCAACTGCCTTGAAAAAAGGAGACCATCGCATATACTTCGCTTGGAATCGATAAATTGCAAAGGATAGTATCATAAGGTACATCCTACAATGTCGCCTTGACCATCTGCCCCGCGACCTCGCCACTACCATACAACGGCATTGTCCCCGGCGTCGTCGCCAAAGCCTCTTCCATAATGCCCAGTCCACGTTCCAGCTCCTCGTCCGTCGTAGTCAGCGGTGGCGCCAACCGAAAGATGCCGCCAAAAGACGGGATCGTGCACAATTGCGCCCACAAGCCCAATTCCATCATTTTGGTCGCCAGAGCGCTGCCCAGTGCCGGTGCAGCGACTTTCGTCTTCCGGTCGGCGACGATCTCCACTCCCGCCAGCAGACCGCGACCGCGAACGTCCCCGATGCATCCGTAGCGGGATTGAAGGAGGCGTAGGCGGGCCTGGAATTTCGCGCCGAGCTCGCGGGACCGCTGGACGAGGTGGTCGCGGACGACAATTTCGAGGACTTTGTCTCCGACACTTGCTGGGAGAGGGTCATTGGCGTGCGTGGTGTAGAAGAGAAAATTGTTCGCTTGGGCATATGCTGCGATGGGATTGCTGGTCACGACGGCGCTCAGGGGAAGTCCGTTGCCCACTGTAGTACACATACACACGTCAGTCACTTCTCAGAAATTCCGGTGTGAAAAAGGGGTATGTATATATGAGATAGGAGATACTCACAACTCTTACTCAACGTCAATATGTCCGGAACAACACCCTCGTCTTCCTCCCAATGCTGAAACGCAAACATATCTCCCGCCCTTCCAATCGCCGTCTGCGCCTCATCCACAATCAGCAGCATGCCCCTCTTCTCACAATGCTTCTTCACCGCTCGCAAATACCCTGGAGGCAGCACCATCATTCCGCCACTACTCAAAATCGGCTCCAAAATCACCGCCGCCAACGACCCACACGATTGCTTATCGATCAATTCCCACCCCACCTCCAACTCCAACTCCCAATCATGACTCCCATCTGCACGCCGGAAAGCCGACCGATAGCCATTCGGAGCGATCAGACAAAAGTTTCCGGGCATGTTCGGTCCATAACCTTTCCTTCCGTCGTGATATTGCGCTCCTATAGCCCCAGAAGTCACCCCGTGCCAACTGCTCGCCAAGCCCACGATTTCGAATTTCCCAGTGTATAATTTGGCGAGCCGGATGGCACATTCGTTGGACTCGCCACCGGTGGAGAGAAACAGTGCTTTGTCGAGGCCGGGGGGTGTGAGCGAGGTGAGGCGTTTGGCGAGGGAGATGACAGGGGGAGATAACATGCCGGAGAAGAGATGGTCGAGATGGGTGGCGTGGGAGGTGATGGTGGAGGTGACCTCGGGGTGGCCGTGGCCGATGGAAGTGGACATCTGACCTGAGGTCCAGTCGAGGAGGGTGTGGTTGCTTGCGGTTGTGATTGTGCGGGCAGAGGTGGAAGTTATTATGAAGGGCTGAAAGGATGGGCCCTAGAGAAGGGCGGGTTAGACCAATTGGCGATGCAGGTGTGCGTTGCTGGTGGCATGAAATGATGGGCATACAAAATGTAGCAAGGTATCTTGGGCATCTTGTTGGAGTTGTTCTTCGTTAATGTTGGTATATGGCTTGGCCATGGTGATTGTTCCGCAGAAAAAAAGACGAGCTCGAGTAGCTACGCAGAGTGGTGATGGAGGAGTTGCTATATGAAAAAGTGGATTTGGTCGTGTCAAGGCTGAGGGATGGTGGGAGCTTTTGACTGCCAGCTCTTGAAGCTCTTGAAGCTGGCAGTTGGGGAATGCAAGGGACTCCGCCTATCTGTCCAATCACAGTCAGCGGCCAAAGGATGTCATTACCGCAGGGCGTAGACAGGGCGTAGACAGCGTGGTGTAGTCTACCCAAGCAAGTGGTACAGTCGTCAAGAATGGTCGGTGAGTGGCCTCGAAGGGAGACGATCCGCGAGAAGGAGATGGAGCCAGAGCTTTTACTCTATCTGCTGGCGGTGTATCGGCGCGAGACGAGCATTTAGGCAACTGGACTGGTCGGCAGACTCAAGTCAAGACTCTGTTGGAATAACAATCGACTGCGTTCATCGCCAATATTGCGGCCAATGAAGACCAGCTTTCCCCGCTGTGAGACGTCGTCCTCTGCACTGACGGTACCATCTATGAGCTCAAAAATCTCACGAACTCCCTGAAGTATCTTCACGCGCCCGTTCGCCAGCATCACCCGGCCTTTACTGCGATGAATCTCCCAGCCAGATGTCAGTCCTTCTGCCTTCCCATTCGAATCACTTGGCAGGTGCGACTCCCACAGCACAGATTGAAGCCATATGTCGAGCGCCACTATGCCATCGTCATCGAGACGAGGCAGGGTCAGCGTCACAGTGCCGATGGCAGGATCCAGGTGGCTGTGTCCTTTGCTTGCAAACTCGAGATTATCTGCTGATACGTTGTCGTAAGCGTGCAGGTCCAGGACCAACCCTTCCAGCTCCGGTACTTGGCTATGATCTGTCACTTGTGTTCTCGCCAACGCGTTGATCGAGTAGACACGTTCCTGTACCGCCTGGAGTTCAGCAGGGGTCACCAGGTCGGACTTGTTGATGACCACTACATCGGCATGGGAAATTTGCAGATGAGCTGTGGAGAGGACTGGACCAGAGTGATGATCATCGTCGCGATGGACAGCCTCTTCGCCGACGGGCTCGTCAAGGGAACGAAGGATATTCTTCGCATCAACAAGCGTCACGATTCCGTCGAGATATATGGTACTTCCAAGTCCTTCGTCCACCCAAAAGAGAGGAGCAATGTTGCCAGGATCCGCAAGACCAGTGGTTTCGAGTAGAATATAGTCAAAGGCACCCCGACGGTCCATGAGAGACTCGATGGCGTTGACGCCAGAGTCCTTGACAGAACAGCAGATGCAGCCATTGGCAAGATCCAGCCATTCGGAGACCTGCTGATCCCCTTGATTGACAGTCAAAGACTTTTCAATGTCCGATGTGTTGCCAAATTCATTCAGTATGACCGCTATTTTCTTGCCATGCTTTGCGGTGAGTATGTAGTTGAGGAGCGTGGTTTTGCCCGCGCCAAGATAGCCTGTCCACATCAGCACTGGGGGGTGTTTCGAGGGAGACTGGGTGGGAAGTAGAATTTTGCAACGAAGTCGGTAGTAGAGAAGCCGCAGATATGGAAGCAGAGAAGCAGTAAGAAACATACCTACCTGTGATGATCGTTATGGGCACCTTGACAATCTTCACCTGGTCCAATTCCACACTCAGCGCCTCTTCCGCCGCAGTGCTCCCGTCGGCAGTCACCAACATGGGAGGCAGCTCGTCATCGTCTCCGTCCTGCATCTTGGCGGCGGTGGCGGAGGTGGTGGAGGTGGTGGTGGAGTGAAGGGTAGAGGGGGAGGGGGAGGGAGAGGGAGAAGAATAGATGGGCGGGAATTGCCGAGCGAAACCGAGCGACAGGGGTCTTCACTTGCATGTGCGTCGAGTACAACCTACCACCTACCACCTCCCCCTACTTTGTCCCGAAACGGGAAGACAAGTGAAGAGAAGAACATTCAACAGACGACTCGGGGATGGAGACCATGGCGTCCGTTAGTTCGCCGTCGTCATCGCCGCGACTCCCCTCGCCGCCGCCCATCGCCGAAGACCAAGTCGGGTCTCTCTCGCCGGGCTTCTCTCTATACCAAGACCATGGTAAGCTTTCCGGGAGTGGCAGCACCACCAACACGGGCGCGGCGAGGCGGATACGACCTGGCACCAAAGCGGAGGACATTCACGAGGGCCCCCCTCTGATTGACCTGCAAGATGTACGTGGACTTGCTTCCCTGTTGCTGTCAAGATCGAGGGAGAGGGAGGAGGCGGTGAGGGAGAGGGAGACGGAGAGAGACAGGGCGATGGAGCGGGAGAGACGTAGAGGGAGAGAGAGAGAGAGAGAGAAAGGAAGAGAGACAGGAAGAGGCACATAGAGAGATAGGAAGAGAGAGCCACAGCTGACAAAGTTCTTCCCTCTAGATCGACTCGGCATTCCAGCTCACCGAACACCTCAAAGCTCTCTACTACCACCACACGCACCCTCCCGACTCCGACACGACAGCCTCGGTCACCGCCGATCTGGCACGCGATCTGGCTAAACCGCCGCCAGGCATCTCTCGCGACATTTGGCTGTATGAGCTGGGCCGCTTTCTCATCCAAAAGACCAATACCGTCATCGTCAACCTATTCGCCGATGACCCGCCCTGTAGCCCCGCCACGTGTCCCGAGATGCGCGCCAGCGAGTGGCAGTATCTGTGCGCGGTGCACGATCCACCTAAGAGTTGCTCGGCCATCGACTACTGCTGCCACACTCTGGACTGGGCTGCCAATGCCTTGACCAGCAGCAAGATGTTTCCCTCGCGCCTGGGACTGGGCTCCACTCCGCACGGCAGTGTCGACAAGGTCCTGGCGCAGCAGATGAAGGAGATTACCAACATCTTCCGACGCGTCTACCGCATCTATGCACATGCCTGGTTTCAGCATCGGGACATGTTCTGGCGAGTTGAGAGGCAGACGGGCCTATACATCTTATTCAAAACCGTCTGCGACGAGTATGGCATGATTCAGCCCGAGAACTACACCATACCCCCCGAAGCCGAAGGACACGACGCAGAAGAAGACGGCCAGGAGCAGACGCAGGTGCCCAGCATTCTTTCCAGAGAAACAGACTCGACTTGGACGAAGCCCGCTGGGAATGAAGTGATTGCCAATGGCAACACGACCAAGCGCCATGGCGGCGGACAAGGCCACATCCGGAACCCTTCCAACGTCACGACTGTGATCCAAGAGGAAGCTGAAGAGGATGAAGCGACCGAAGCAAAACCAGTGTTGGAACGCGCAGTCACCACTGTGCACGATGACGAGCAGCCCCCAGAGGCTGTGCCGCCTGAAGAAAAGTCGGATGAAAGCAAGCGAGACACCATCACACCCGCAACAATGACCACGTCCAAGACTTTCACCGTACCGGAGCCCGTCCAGAATGAGAAGACATTGGAGAACCAAGATGAGACTGATACTGGCGATGAGACAACGATCCACATCGAATCGGAGGGGACTACTGTCGAGACCAAGGCGGACGAACCTGGAGTGGAAGTCACGGTTGAGCCTTTGGAGGAGGAGGCTACGGCCGAAGACACCGAAACTGCGAAATGAGCGAGCACGACAGTATTGTGCTCTTTGATGAAACACAGACATCGCACGCATCACCTCGAATATGGTGAAACTAATTAATGTGAAGGCTTCTAAGCCAACCCGGATGGAGATGTGAATTCACTTCACTGCACACTGCTGCTAGGCACCAATCTCGCAGGCAGCACAACGTCAAAGCTCATGGAACGGCGTGCTTTGCTCAAAAAGTGGGATCTTGGTCACGTTCGTCCGGACATGAATCCGGAACGCGCCGCGTTGGAGTGAGCAGAACATTGCGTGCTAAGAATCGCGGTTCCTGCTGCAGATCAGGCAGATCCGTCCATGGACGAGTCTGCTAGACTAACAAAGTATGGAGCGCGGCTGGAAAAGTTGAGAGGAGGAGCGGATGCCATGTATCAACGCCTTCAACGTACACTTTACAAGCTTGTTGCAGTCGGGCGTCTTAGCAGTCGGCTACAAGCATCGAGTCGGTTGCAATCGGTCAATCCACCAGTGGTTATTGGCTCATGATCGCATCATTTTTGTGAAGTTTAGCATTGAGAAGCTGAGTATGTACATACATAGCTTCCGCTGGCCACTCGGGACTGTAAGCACGGATCCCAATAAAGCTTGGCGTTGACATAGATCAAACCAGGAAAAAATGCGAAACCTACCGACGAGCTATAAGACATCCTTCGAATGTTCCGGCGCAGTGGGCAAGTAGACATTCATCCTGCAATCGTTTTCAATTTTTCAACACTCGCGCAAGTAGCGAGCCCAGACCTTGATCACGAAGCTCCTCGCATCGGCCGCCTTCTTCACGCCTCGTCGTCGCTATCACCAGATGAGGGTAGAGCGGCGTTTCGACCAGAGCATTGTATGGGGGAAAACAGCGGGCATGCTTTTGCCATCACGGACGAGTGTACGAAGGCGCGACGGCTATATACCTACCTCCCATGGGCTCGCTAAAGGTACCCCGAGAGCTGCATGCAGCTCATGACATTCGAGTACTGCCGGATCCTATACCATGCCGCCGAGCATTGAAGAGAGAGGTCTTCTGAGGAAGCTATACGACGACACTCTATTCCACACTGTATTACTGCGCCTTTTGAGATCCGATACTACACGATCTAATATGTCTGCCAGGCGCAAGACGGGTATTCAAGTGCATATTACAGACAAAATTCGTGAGGGTGTCTGCTGCCAATGGTATCATATATCTTGATCACCACAGATCCACTCTCGCAGGAGCATTTGCAGAGCTCGTGCAGCCAGGGTTAGGTCTGTTGAATGAATGAAGGTTGCTGGTACACTAATTCGTGGTAAGCTCCCTGGGTGAGTCCGGTGGAGCCGCTTCCCACGTGTCGGCTCGCAACTTACACATTCGCTATATAGCATATTCATATCGCCCAGCTCGATTGCCGCTCCTCTGGTCCTTATACACCTTTTCTGCTGCTGACGGCCGCAATGCGCCTGAAAAAGAAGCCTCGTATCCTCACGAGACCTTACTGGCGACATTTATTCGAACGGGCGCAGTCGAAGCTTAATACGACACCGGCACAAGAGCAACTCGACGAGCGTTTCAAAAACCTACCAGCAGAGCTACGGCTCGAGATACAGGAACACTATCTTCGAGCAGATCCCATCCGAGTAGGCGATGATGGGGAACTGCGACATCCTCTCGTGGACAAGAATGTGACATGCCCCGATCTCAGAGAGACCGCTGCGTTGTATCGCGCCGCTCCGATTGTTCTCAGCTACTATCTCCTCAAGACTGGCCAGCACGGGAGGTACTATTTCGACCTGGACAGTAGCAGCAAGCCCTGGGCACCTTACAGTTACTTCCTCGAACATCATGACCGACACCTGGGGAGAGCGCATAGGAAGCACCTACGGCTCGAGATCAGAATCACTATACCCAGCAATTGCTACAAGAAATTGCGCTTTCGCTGCGATGAACTGGGCCGAGTTACTTTCCAGCCTGGGCATGAACACGCCTGTCGATCCCGGCACTGCGAACGTCCCGAACAGCAGGTCAATGTGTGGCGGCACATTGACACCCATACGAACAGAATCAGCGAGCATACCGAAATTCCACGCGAGAACATCAACACCGAAGTCGCCTTTGTGCATTACAAGTGCCAAGCATGTGGTTGTGCACACGCGAGGTGCAAACTGAAACTCATGTGCATGGGGCCCCCTTATATGGTCTTATGCCTCATGGCATACGTAGTGATCTCGTGGCAAACGGCATATTGTGGTTGGGATATATACAAGAAATGGAGAGCTCAAATCCGGCTTCAACCCGGCATTCATCGCTACACTCTCTACGCATCTTTCCTGCTCCCTGTCTTCCTCGGGGGAGTTTTTCTGACTCCATTGGCTATGCCATTGAAATGGACTGTTCAGGGATCTGAAAAAGCAGCACAGATGGTCGTGCAAATCATTGAACGGCGGCAAACGGCGCGCAAAGCAATGAAGCAAAGGATCAGGGCAGATGCAGAGGCTGTAGCGGCTACAGATGCTTCTCGTAAGCAAGGCACGGTGTCTGCTGTGCAACTTGGGAGCTTTCCATTCGAAAATCGCCCGTCAGAGCCCATGATTGGTTCCGAATAGGGGTGAAGAACGAAAACAAAAAAAGAAGAACATTACTCTTTCGTATTAGACTCGGGCCGCCAATACTCTTTCGAGCCACAATTAACGCATATAATCATCGACTGCTAGCAGTAATAGCTACAAGGAAGCACACCATATCCTCCAAATGTATATTCAAGAATGAGCGAGTATACATATCACACCAACTGCGAGCGCTCTTCAATATTGTCATTCCATCTGACAAGGAAGCCGAATACGCCGTCACATAAAAAGAAACTGTGATTCCTCGCACGGACAGGACCTCAACCCTCTCATATTATAATTCCCCCAGCAGCCGTCGTTTACATTCTCAGCAACGAAAATCCCTTTCCCTCTCGCAGGAGGGACTAGTACAGAATACATCGGGGGGACTCTCTGCATCCATTGGATATTTTTTTTCTTCTCTCATACAGCACGTATCCAGCCGAACAAAATGCATGATACCTATCGGCAAGGATCTATGAAAAGAGCCACACTTTGTCTCTCTCTCTAACAGATTTTGAAGGTTGGGGCATTTATCTATTTCATCGATCGAACTGCTGACGTGATTCGGTATGTGCTTGTTTTGGAAGTGGAGTACAAAAAAAAGTATACAGGTAGTAATGAAATCAGAGCCATCGATTACGGATACAGTGGTGGTGTCTGCTGTCAAGCGTAGTTTGCAACACGGAGGAGGATGAAGACGAGGAGGGGGAGAAAGTGTTGAGGCCAAATTGAAAGAAGCTGTGAATATATTTGAGGTGGAAGGAAATTTAAGCGCCTTGGTGGTAGGGAAGTGACGATGGAAAAAAAAAGACCAAAAAGGGAAAAGCAAAAAGCAAAAAGCAAAAAGGGAAAAGCAAAAAGCAAAAAGCAAGCAGAAAAAAAAAAGAAGAAAAAAAGAAAAGGAAAAGAAAAAGAAAAAGAAAAACTCTCAGAAAATAGTAATGAGGTTTCTCTGTTGCAACCCTATTAAAGAATGAATGTGTGCTATAAGGTCATACCATCGCTCCCCCTTTCAAAATCCCACCAACATCTTCCCCACCTCTTCTTCTTCTTCTCCTCCTCCTCCACCCCCTCCCCTATCCACACTTTTCCCCCAAAACCCCAACTTTCACTAATATTCCTTTCCCCTTTTCATCCCGGCAATGAGGAATTTACAAAGGAGTAGTGCAGAGAAGAGCGAGGTCGGCCTATCATCACACGACGAAGTTATCATTAGCAACCATGATCAAAAAATTTAGTAGTTTCGGAAAAGAAAAGAAAAGAGGGAGAGAGAAAGATAAAACTTACAATCCCACCGACTTCACAGCATTGAGCACTCAATCCCGTATGCTTGCACTCCTTGTTGAATTCATCGACGGACTTGGGGCTTCCGGGGACTGATTCGAAAGAAAAAAAAAAGAAGATTGTTAGCGTCTGAGAGTTCGTTCGATTTGACTACTAGGTAGGTACTTACCATCCGAGCAAGAAACAGCAGCGACGCCCAAAACGTCCAATTGGCAACAATATGGTGCTCCACTAGCGCAGACTTTCTCTCCACCCCGGGTCTCGAGGACTGAAGGGGCTGCGGCTGCGAGGGCAGCGGTGGTGAGGAGGGCGAAGAATTGCATTTTTTGGGGAGGTTGGTTTTTGGGGTGGTGGGATTAGATTTTGGAGGGTTTTTGGAAAAAGGTGATGTTGGTTGATGTTGATGATGATGTTGATGATAATGGGAGCGAAATGGCGTGTGGGTTTATATATGTTGTTATTGTTGTTTGTTGTTCTTCTTAATCCTCCTCTTCTTCCCCCTACTCCTCTTTCTCTTCCCTCTTTGATACTCTCTCTCGCCCTCTCTATTCGTCTGCCGTCCATCCGAGCCATCCAGCCTGCATACTGCATATACATAAACATTACATAGGTACCTAGTTCTGTACCACCATGAAAAAAAGTTTCCACATTTCAATTTATTTTCTCCACAACTTCTTTTTGTCTTTCCCAATCACATCAACTTCAGGTACCCAATTAATTATACAGCTAGCTAGTTCGAAGGAGCGAGCGAGCGAGCGCTACGAAGCCTTACATTCACTCTTCCTGTCATCATCATCATCGTATTCCCCTTCCCAACTCCTGCGGGCCTTGCATGCATGCATCTTGAACAGAGAGAGAAAATTATATTATTTACTCCACAGCGACCCAAAAGAGAGAGTAGATACCTACATATCTCCTAGTTCAGAATAATGCACCCACCAGTCAGCCCATGAACAACTCACACGTCGGGTTTCGGCGGGTCCTTGATATTATTATTTCTATCATCATCATACTACATCCACCGTCCTGTACCTGAACAGCCACAATGCAATCGACGGTGATGATGATAATGATGCAAACAAGCAAGCTCGTCGGGCCTACAGTATGGATCTGCCAATAGTTGAATTTCCCCGTTGTTGGACCATCTTCGGGACGCTCAGACCCCCCCTCCAAAAGGGAATCCTTACATCGTGTGATGAAAAGAAAAGAAGAGTCTGGCCGAATGTGAAAAACTCGTTTTCTCCAGTTTCTGCGGATCGTACTGTATGTACCTCCTATGCGTTGCCGAGAAGCATACTTTGCATGCATACGGTTCTGGACTTTTCTCTTCTTCTTGAATAGGGGAGGGGAGTTTTCCAAAATAAATCGCAACGACCTACTAAATGCAGGTGAAGTGGATTCTTCTTCTTCTTTCTTTTCCCTTTTCTTTTGATTACCTGGTACTCTACTCCACTCCATCGATGCCCCCTTGGGACTTGGGAGTCTCGCCACATGGTCTGCACGTTTGATGGGTAAGACGACGAGGAGAATCCATGCTGTACGACGTGTAGGAAGGGTGTACAGGACTACTGAGTATGTAGAGTGGTCTGGCCCTATTACTACCTACCTACTGTGCAGTTACGTAGCGCCGTGTAAAGTGATGTATATATTCTTCTTGGCATAGCCTCGTCGTCTTCTCCTCTCTCGGACTCGTAGGCGAAGTTTTGATGGATCCTTTTAATACGCGAAGGATGCGGATTGACCGGAATCTGGAAGGCTAGGCTGGGGCTGTGGACTGGATTTTTTGGGGTGCTAAAAAGAACAAGTCAGCGACTGGAGTCCTCGTTTGTCGTCACTAAGGTACCGCCTGTTTGGATGTACTATTGGAAGTGTCTAGTTAGTTAATTCGGTCTGACTGGGTATGTACTGTAGTCAGTCCACTGGCTGGCTGGCCCTATATCCACTGAATACGATATTCCTCTCCCTTTTTTTGTTCTTGGCGAGAACAAATCTATGCAAGTTTACGTACTTGCACAAGACTTTCTTATTCGTAGCACTTGGTATTGTATCTTGTCCTCCTCCTCGTCATCATCATCGTACCGCCCTTGTCGCTTTCTCTCCACTCAAACATCTCCTCTATCCCGCCACAATGGATCAACCGTATAGAAATTGCGGCACCTCACCTTACATTCACCTCTAGTGTGTACCCGCCCCGTCCGAGCGAGCGAGCATCTCCCGAAAGTGGAGATTCTCTTCAAAAAATTGTTGAAAAGAAAGTAATATTTCGGTCTTCCTTCGCGGCGATTCTTCCTTCGCGCGTTATGCGTAGCGTAGCGTAGCGTAGCGAGCGTGGGCGTGTATATATCGATATGCATATGCATTATGCATAAGGTATAATATATGCACGTTCGCTAACTAGTACCCGTAAAAGTCAGGTACCGCAAGGTACAGACTACCGTACAGTATGTATAGGTATGTAATATCCGGACATATTTTGTTCAAGCCAAGGGCTGGGCTAAGGGAATGGCTAGGGGTAGGGCTGGGCGAGAAGTGAATTGAAAATGAAAAGAAAAGAACATAATAAGGTGTTGATCTTCACATACTTGATTGGTACGGGGGATTCGGGTATGTATACTACAGTTAGAAAGGATTGTCCGTCTTGCTGCCGGGTTCCTGCATATATATGTATATGTATATGTACGGTCCCTACTTTACCTGACCTGACCGTACGTAAGGTATGTATACATATATACATATATCCAATGAGCTGGAGATCTATATCATCATATCCATTGTCCATTGTCCAGCACACACACCGCGATTCGCGCGGACCCAGTCTCTCGGGGTGGGTTTTTTTTATTAACTGTCTTTTTTTCAACTCTACTATGGCTCCATGTCGGAGCTGAAGATCCTTTTTGACGACAAGGCTGTGTACATATATGTACTCGTTGCGTAAGTGTACTGTAGTCTCATGTAATGCTGCCTGTTTGTCTTGGTTTCCTTTGGATGGGTTGGGACGTCGAGCTGAGGAGATGGGATGATTTGTGTTGTTACCTGACCCCTGAAGTGAAGGATTGAGGAAGATGACCTACCTCTGTTCTCTCTTCGATGCCGCTACCTCCTAGGCACCTTGTGTATGTACAACAGGAAGGATCACAGTAGTGAGTCTTCGGACATGTACTACTCTCTGTCTCTCACACACACACTCACTCACACACTCACTCATCACACCACCGGCCACCGATACTCCATCCACCTCCCCAAAGTCTCATTCCACATCCCACTTTCCACCTGATATCTCACCCAAACATCCACAAAATGCTTCCACACCGCATCCCCCCTCGGCAACAAATACCCCACCTCCTCAAACGTCCACGGCACCTCATTCACCATACACAACGACCCATTATGTAAATTCACCTGCAACTCCACCTCAATCCTATCACTCACCATAGCATCCGCTCGACCCTCCACAACAGCTTGATAGACCGCATTATTATCCTCCACCAACACAATCTCCGCGAGTTGAAATTCCGCGCGATCAAACGCTTCATTCGTTCCGCCCGGATTCGTCGCGATTTTCACGTTGGAGGCGTCCAAGGATGCTAAATCGGGGAATCGTGTGGTATCCGAGCATCGGATACAATCTGTTTTGCCGACGCGGAGGACGGGAGTCGAGAAGAAGGCTCCTGTTGCTGCGCGCGCGAGAGTGATGCTGATGCCGCCCATGGCGATGTCGAATTTGTGGGCGAGAATGTCGGATGTCAGATTGGACCAGATGGAGGGGATGAAGACGGGTGGGGAAGGGAGGCGTAATGCGTTGGAGAGGGCTTGGGCCATGTCGATGTCGGCGCCGATGTAGGTAGTGTTGAAGGTGGAGGTTCCATTGTTGTTATTAGTATTATTTAGAGGGGGAAGAAGCGCTGTGGTGGTGTTGGTGAGTTTGTAGCTAAAGGGCTTGTAGTCGCCTGTGGTGCCGACGCGAAGATGACCGCGGGCTTGGATGGTGTCGAGAATGCTGGTGATGTTGGCGTAGGAGAGGGAAGATGCCTCCTCGGTATTCATCATCCCGTAGCTGCTGGGCTCATGGCCCATTGCCACATGAGAATAATGCGCCACTTGGGCCAGGAATACCGCAAACGTCGTCTTCATGATTGCTGCTTCTACCCTTGGGTACAACAGACTCGCCTGGTGCTAATGAATGTCCTGAAGTTGCCATATCTCCTCGTTGGAACTTGGGAAGGTCTCTGGCCCGACTTCGCGTTGATAGGAGTACGAGGCTATCGATAAAGCTAGTGGTATAGTGCCGATGAACATCCATGGGGGACCTGGGCCTATCGCACGTGTTTTCTCTTGGGCAGTAGTTGAAATCTTGAAATAGTAGAAGTTGTTTGTACAGAAGAGTTGTTGCTATACCTTTGTTTCTTGCCATGCATACTTTGGAGTGAGCAGTGTAGTATCTCTTTCATACTCTCTCTTCCCCCTCTTTCCTCCACATTGTCATTCTTGGCATATTACAGCAAAATTTCTCATGATGGTGATGATGATGATGATGATGCTACCTGACTTTTCTCTATTGCCCCTCTTTGGTCCATCATGGACTGATACACATAATGAATTGAGGCTTCAAAACGCCACGTCGCCAATCTATGCCTCTATTCAAGAGTGCCCCTCGCTAACTGCCATAATCGTTACATGCACGCCCCTTGCCGTCTCTTACGTCGACTTCTTCTCCTGTACTGAAGAAGGGCCGGCGCCGTCTGAGGAAGACTTTTGCTGCTTGTCCAGGTCTTGCTCGGACTCGAGCATGTCGGATTCAGCCTGTGCTTTCGAGTGGGCGAGAGCGTCGGATTGTCTCTGCTCCTCATCCTTCTCGTCGATATTCTCCTTGTCGTCGACCACTTCTTCCCGACCGGAAGCCTTTTGTTCCTCGGCCTGCTCATTCTCCTCTTGAATCAACTCTTGCTGCTCCTTGATGACTTGCAGTCTCTGCTTGTTGGTGGTAGCACCCTCGGCAGTGTGGACCTCGAGTTCAATCTCGTGGAAGAGCTCTTCGGGAATGCTGGCCAGGACGGCCTGCAGTGCCGACATTTGGCCCTCAAACTCATTCTCCTTGCCAGTCGCGTACATGAAGGCATTGCTCAGGACCAGCAGTGTGCTCGGAACACCGTACTTGAGACGGAGATCGAGCCACATTTGCAAATCATCTCGCAGACGACCAGGACTCATACCATGTGTTCGTAGTCCGCGGGCAGCGCAGGCATTCTGCAGTTCTGGGACAGACAGCGATTCCACTCCTTCGTAGCTGATAGCCTTGTCGTCGCGCTTGATCTGTCGCATGCGATGGCGCACCGTATACCGCAGCATGGCGTCCGTGCCGAATGTGCCTAGGTTCATGTACTTGCACATGCCAATGAGTTGTGGCCTCGACAAGTTATCCAGGGTCAAATCATCCTTGAAGAGCTTGCAGACTTTGATGATGTCGGACTTGGTGGGCTCCTCTCCCGTCGTCTTCAATTTGCGGAAGAACTCTGTAAACTCCTCCTTTTGCGCAGTGGTGGCCGAGACGGGCAAGCCAGACTCTCGCATGGTCTGGCGCAGGAAGTTGGAGACCTCCTTACGAGATGACCTCAGCTTGACAGCCTTCGCGTCCTTGGTCTTTGCATTCTCGTACGTGGAAGGAAGCATGTTGGGGAAGAGCTTCAGAGCAACGGGGAGGAGCAGCTCAGCAAAGGGCACCAAGACAAAGACGGAGAATGGGACCAGTCGACCCAAATCCTGTACCGTTCGAGTGAGTTGTCGGTGCTCTCGGCGGGTGAGTTCGTATCCAGCAGCCATCTTGAAGGCCAGTTTCCATGAAATGCGCACTTCTGTGCCGAGCAGCTTGGTTCCATCCCAATAATGCTGTGCTTCGTGCTTGACCTTCTGCCACAAGGTCAACTTCTTCTTTTTCTTCTCCTCCTCGTCCTTCTTTGCAACCTCCTTTGTCGTCTCTGCATGCTCTTCGGCAGCTGTCTGAGCGGCAATCTCATTCAACGCCTGCTGTTCCGCAGCCGAGGTCGGGGCACTTTCGGTAGGCTGGTCGGCAGGAATGGTGATTTTGTGATCTGTGGCCTTCTTGTCGGACTCCTTACTGAGCGGTTTCTTAGCCTGCTCGATGTTGAAGCCCGGTGGTGGGCCACTATTCTGTCCCGAGTGATGTTGCGAGTCTGTTGAAGCACTCATACGGGGAGTCAAGATGGCGACAGCAGGCAAGGTGCGCGGGAGGCGAGCAGCGCGGGAGAAAGCGATCCTGTTCCCATGACGGAGGAGGAGTGGCGCCAGTTGCGCCGAGTAGCGCGAGTTCATCATGCTGTCCGGCAGCAGAGAGAGGGAGAGAGAAAATGATAGAGAGAGAATGAAGTAGATGCTGCGATGTAGAGTTGCGTAGGTAAGGGACAGCGAAAGTGCAGGCAAAAGAGAAAGAAAGGATGGGAGGAGGTGTTTGGAGCAGAAGCAATCGAAGGCGACATTCCATCACTAGCTTCCCAGGGACTGCCAGTCTACCAAAGCCGAGAACGAGACGGGACCTGACCGGGCTCCGGCAATGTACGTGTAGCACGTGAGTGCGTGGGCAGATGGATCACGTGTCAGCTCCTCTCTCTCTCTCTCTCTCTCTCTATAGCAGTGCACTAAGCCGGTGACGAGAAGCGCCTCGGACCACGGCGATCGTCTGCGCTCATCCCATCACCACACGACTCCCACTGCCTCTTCTCTTCTCTACCAACCCACTTCTCCCACTCCCGCTCTGACTCTCTCACCAACCCCCCTCGGACTTACACTCACTCACTCACTCACTTCTCATCTCCTTCACTATGGCCGTGTACGACAGCAGCTGACGAACGTTGTCTCCGGAAGACTGCCATTGGTAGACTCTTCACTCACCCATTCTTGCGCGCCCTCACGCCCTGCGACAACCGACCCAGAACAGCCCCAGCGTCCCCTGATTACCGTGGTACGACTCAACGATAGTGACAACAACACCGCCGTGCGAACCTCGTGAGCGAGTCTCGTAACCACCATGCCGACTTCGAGACTGCGACGAGCGGCACGCATCATCCTCATCGGCGCTCCCGGCGTGGGGAAGGGTACACAGACGGAGCGCCTGTTGAAGCGCTACCCTCAACTCGCCGCCATCAGCTCCGGCGACTTGCTGAGAGAGAATGTGCGCAACAAGACTCCGTTAGGTATGTATTTCGTCCATTTACGTGTTGGCCACACGAGCCTGTATTGATATCGCGTGACCATGACAGGCATCCAAGCCGAGTCCCTCATGAACCGCGGCGCTCTCGTGCCCGATGCCATGATTCTACGCCTGATTCGGAATGCCCTCACCACCAGAGGATGGCTGATCCCAGCAGACGGCGTCCAACCTTACACACTCAACTACAGCTCCGCCAACGTCGAGCTTGACACGGCTGCTTCCACCCTACCTTCTCCAGAAATCTGGACGACGATGCCCTACGAAGCCGATTCCGAGTATCGATACAGCGACCATCCCGACGCTTCTTTCCTCCTCGATGGTTTCCCACGAACTGCTGTGCAGATGGAAGAGCTGGAGAAGATGGTCCCCGTCAACATGGCCGTCCATCTGCACACTCCGACCGATGTCATCCTGAATCGAATCTCCAACCGATGGGTGCATCCTCCTAGTGGGCGAGTCTACAATATTGGCTTCAACGCCCCCAAGGTCGAAGGCAGAGACGACGTCACCGGCGAGAAGCTCGTGCAAAGGGACGACGACAAACCAGACGTGTACCTCAATCGTGTCAAGACCTACAACGAGAGCGCCCAGAGCCTGCTGGATCACGCCGAACGGAAAGGAATCTTGTATAAGATCGAAGGCAACAGCAGCGACGAGATTACACCCAAGCTGTTTGACATTTTTGAGAAGAAGTTTGGCGAGGCCTGAGAGGATGCGACATTCTGATGTGTTGGGCTCTCCCACCGCATGAAATGCACATGTTGTGAGTCAAGGAAGCTAGACTGGTATTGGCTCCTAGAGACAAATTGCGTGAACCAGCTGTGATTGGAGCAGTGAAGCTAGTGTAGATGGAGCGAGAAATTTGGACCTGCGCGGGTGTTTTTACCTTGGTCGTATGGGAAGAACAGGGACACAAGTGCTCGACTTTACTGCAAAGTCTCGGAGCGACCCTAGTATACAGATGAAATTGAACACGAAAAGGACATATCTGACCTTACAGCACATGTCTTCCTTCTTCCCAGCGGGCATGACTAACTTCAGGTAAGAGCACTTCTTTTGCTCACCTCCCGTCAGTACATGTAAGTGGAACATGTTTTGAAAATTGCCGTCAATGTGTTTGCTGATGATTTCATTGAATACACGTACTTCAGATACAAGAACTAAAACGTCCCAACGCCGGTGTGCAGTAGGATGCCAAGGCTGCAGCTAGAGCACTCAGAGATCTTGACATTCATCCTTTCCACATTCGAACAACTCCGAACAAAATCCCAAACAAAAACCCAAACAAAAACTGACCAAATCCTCCCCTCAAGTCCAGGCTTACAATGTTGCTTGTGCCCAGATCCTCTCGCAGGCCTCCTTTAGATCTGCCACACGTTGTGTGGCAGCTTCCAGCCGACGTTTCCGCAACACTTCAATTGCCCGGTGAACTTCTTGCAGCCGAAACTTGTACCAGTGCACAAGTTCCTCACGAACGTCGATCAACTGGTGTCGGATGTCTTCCAGCCGAAGTTCCCACAGACGCACTTCCTCCCGACGAGCGTCGTCGGTGAAGCGACTCTCTGCTGCTTCCAGGCGGCGAGCAATTTGTCGTTCGCGGTACTCTGCATGCTCACGCAGAATCTCGTCCTCCGACTTCTCCAGAGTCGCACACATCATTCGCACTGCCGCTGTTGCTGCGGCTTGTGCTTCGTCCTCCTCCTCCTCCTCCTCCTTCTCCTTCCCCTTCCCCTTCCCCTTCTCCATCAACTCGTGGAAATCCAGCCAGGCCCATTGGATAGCAAACCCCCACCACCGTCGGCAGGGGATACCAGGAATGGGCATCTTGTCCATCGAAATCGGCTCTTTCGAGTCGGCATCTCGTTCCCAATCCATGATCCAGCTCGTCATCCGAGCGTCTCGCTCCCAATCCTTCATCAGCCCTGTCCCAGCCACATCTCTGTGCTCGGTGCACTCTTCTTTCTCCTCATCCTTCTGCCCAGGCTTCTTCGCCCAGCGCCTCTTCTCCCTGCTGTAGCTTTCTTGGCCCGGTATCAGCTCGGGCCAGTCGGCGGTTTGGCGGAGGAAGTCTTGCTCGAACGCGAGACGACCTGGGTGCGATGCTTGCTCCTCCGGGCTGGGGAATGGACCTACTGGGATGTAGATCGGATCGGAGGAGCACTCGCAGACGGGGTAGCAGGAGTGGAGGGTGGTGGAGAAGAAGTAAGACATGGTGAGTGGTGTGGTGGGTGGTGTGGTGGGTGGTGGGGAGTTGGAGATGATGGGGATGATGATGGGGATGATGTTGATGTTGATGTCGATGTTGATGTCGATGTTGATGTCGATGTTGATGTCGATGTTGATGTCGATGTTGATGTCGATGTTGATGTTCTGTTGCTCTTGCTGTTGCTGTTGCTGATGCTGATGCTGAATGCTTGATGCTGATGCTGATGCTTGATGCTGGATGCTTGATGCTGAATGCTGAATGCTTGATGCCGAATGCTTGATGCCGAATGCTAGATACTGAATGCTATTGCCAACTCAGTAATCAGAACGATAATGAAGAAAAAAGAAAAAAGAAACCCAGCAGTGATCTCTCTGCAATACATATACATATATCAGGTATCCAGCCCGCCAGCCACGATAGTACATAAGTTTGGTCCTACCACTACTCTTACTAGACCATACAGTCCTCACAATTCCAGCTTTCTTCAATATCTGTGGATACCTTAAAGTATGTTATCTCATGGTACCTTTTCCATTATATCTTGGTTTACTTTTTACCTCTTTTTTAACTTTTTTACCTTTGCGGTTGTCTATCCGTCTGGTTGTCCGTCTATCCTCCCTTCCTTCTTCCTCCCCGAAAAAGTGAAAAGTTCTCGAATCCGCGGCAGCAAAATCACGAGGAGGTAAGGCACTTCTGTGGTGAAGTAGATATTTATATATACATTTTTTTTCCTATTTGGGGAGGGTAGTGTAGTTATGTAACAGGAAATAGGTATGTACGGCTGAGGGTAAGGGATGATTTGTTCGATGCTTGATGGTTTCTGCTTGCTGCTTACTGCTTGTTGCTTTTCTGTTGTTGGTCGTTGGATACCTTACTTTGGTTACTTTGGTTACTTTTGGTTACTTCTGGTTACGGGTACGGGAATTCGAATTCAAAAATTTTGCTTTTGGGGCTGAGGAATGAATGACCATAGCTACCATATATACTTCGATTTGGGTGGAGGGAGGAGAAAGAATTACTTTTGTTTTGCAGTGCGGGAGATGACGAGACTTGACTGAAAGATGTGGTCGACAGGTACGATGGGGACTCGACAGGACTGATTTGATCGATGGAACTGACCAAACCAGCTAGTTAGTGGTGTAAGGAGAGCCCGGAATGCCGATGGGTAGAGGTAGGTAGAGGAGGTTGGGAGGTTGAGAGGTTGAGAGGTAGGCTCGGTAAGTAAATAGGTACCTGATGTTAGAGAGGTTTACGTACCTCAGGTTATGGAGGTAAGGTAAGGTAAGGTAAGGTACCTCCTAAGGTAGATGAAGTGAGGTACCTTACCAAAAGACCCTTCTCGTCTCGCAAAATTCTTGGCAACCAAATTCGAGTCTTGCAAAAAAAAAAGGAAAACAAAAAGAAAAAGAAAAAAAGAAACGAAACGAAAAATCATCACAATATACCTACCTACCTTGCCCACCTAAATATAATCGAGCCTCGCCTTCCAGTTATCTACAAGCCAAAAAGAAATCTCCCTCGCTCATCAGCAAAAACTTAACTTTATACTGCCGACCCACTCACTCGTATATCTTTGAACTTTTCCGGTCCTAAGAAGCTTTAAGTTTTTGCACAACCTGTAAATTTCTTCCAATATCTGCAGCTGTGGAGTAAGTACACATAATAAGCTTAGTACCTACATATGACAGAAAATGCAACGCAGAGAAGAAAGAAATGTATGGCTGAGGAGGTCGTATAGGGTAAATCTATAGAGTGTTCCGAAGAAGAAAAAAAAGTAAGTATCTGCTGACGAAGGGCACTGAGCCATGGATGGATAGATAGAACCTAGGTACCAGGGAGGATGAATGATTGAGGAATCGTGCCATCGGATTTTCGCTGGGAAAGGGGGGAGGTTACTGGTATGTCTTGCTTAATTCGAGTGGTGTGGAGGGAAAAAAAGAAAAAAAAAAGTCTCTCGGCTCGGCGGCGTTTGAGAGAAGAGTGACTGACCGGGTCGGAGGAATAATCTCGATGGTATGATACGTGCGAAGTCGGCCAGTGAGTGGAGTGCATCAAGCCGATTACACTCTGGTAGGTACTACTGTACTGGGTGTAGTAGCTGCTCTGTCTTTTTTTGAACAAAGACTACAGAGCAAAACCTACTTACTGAGGTATTCTTCATGCTCTCTCCCGTTCCTCGTGATTAGAAAAAAGACTCTGCTCTGCTTCTGCTCGTGCTTCAGCTCACGAAGGAGCAGTTCGCATCTGTTCCATAACAGCCTCTTTCGGCGCCGTATCGCACACCTCACCACAACGTTCGCAAATTCTCGCTTTCTCATCTTCTTTAAAAGCGTTCACAGCGTCTTTAATCTGCGAGCCCAAATCTACACAATGAAAACTAGCTTCATGCACCTGATTCCCACAACTCTGACAATACCACCTTAGACGATCCAAACTCCCCTCAGGCCGGGGTTGCTCAATAACCACACCGACAGTATCTGCGAAGCGAACGGGGTTGTGAGGAGTGTTGCCCGGTAGTAAAAACATATCTCCTTCATTGATGTAAATGTCTTGGAAAGTATCTTTGCCATTTACATCTTGCTGGATGGTCTTGAGGAGCATTCGGCCTTTGTATTGGTAGAAGAATTCGGGCGTGGAGTTGATGTGGTAGTCTGTTCGTGCGTTGGGGCCGCCTACGATCATGATGGTCATGGGATCGTTGTAGACGCAGTAGTTGTTGATTGGAGGTTTGAGGAGGTGGGAATTCTCGCTAAGCCATTTCGGGAGGTTCAAGGGGGGGAGCATGGCGGCTGCGGATCGGGGGGATGGTGATGATGGAGATGTGCTGGTAGTGGTGGCGGAGAGGGATCGGGCGGACGGTGGTTGTGGTGGTGGTGCTGTAGGATATTGTGAGATTGCGGCCGTGCCATTTCGCATACAGCGTCGTGTTGTCGCCACGAAGGGCTTACGAATGGCTTGCATGGTGAGTGTGAGGGCTTTTGCGTGTGGGAGAGATGGGGGGGAAACGGGGTTAAGTAAATAAGTTGATTGATTACTTCAGAATATAAGGTAGTCAGATTTTCGAGGTGAGGTATGTTGATATCATCGAAGTGTCGAGACGATGATGTCTATTGAACCTACCCACACTAGTCCTACTCTGTCATCGCTGACATGTGCAACAAAACTTGAAGGTCTAATTGATATTTGATGGAGGCCCAATTAACAGCCAATGAATGTTCAGTGAGTCTCCAATCAATGGCCTCCGTGTCCAATCAATAAGGTACCCGCCACCTCCATCGCCAAGACGCTATTGAAGTTCCTCTCTAGGTACCTCCACCTCCGTAAGGTATCTGTACCTATCTAATATATATATTCTCCACGTATAAACCGTTCTGCCAAAGGCGCAAGCACGAAGAATCTACCCAACAACAATACCTTCACCTCACACCCATAATTTCCAGAACAAATCACTCACAATGAACATTTTCAAACTTTCACCATACAGCAGGGTACCTAGTTGCAACGGTACGATACGGTACGGTACAGTACGTATCACAGCAGGACATGTCGCAACAGAGCCTGGGTCTGTATAACCACGCTCCGCATCCACAACGGTACGTGTGACAACAGTCCGTATTGCAGTCTACTCTAGTCTCTCCCCAACAGTCTGTCACCCTAGATAAGTATTCAGGGCTTTCCCCTCCCCCTTTTGTTGAGATAGCGGACTCCATTCCCGCCATCCCCATGGGAGAGGGGGGATAAGGACTGTCCTCCCCCGTGGTATGCTCGCAGTATGAAAGTCTCCTCTTGGAGGTGCTTTCAAACCGGGGACTACTACTTTTTCACCGTGAGATATACTGTCTGGAATATATTGGATGTGCTGGACCACTGATCGTGGAGCTTCGGAGGCCGCAGTAGCAGTAGCAGCAGCAGGAAGATCTTCGGACAGCGACAGTTTTCGTGATCGACCAATACACACCAACGACGAAAACAATAATAACAGCCCAGTAGCATGTCCCGTTGCGAGAAGATATCGTCACGCGAAAGACGAGAATGACCGGTCCAATAAAGTGGTCCATCCGTCCGTCCGTTCGCTCGTTCCTTTCGTATTTGTAGACCGCTTACTTTGTAGCAATCCTAATAACCACCATGGGATGTTTCGGCCAGACATATTTTCCATCGAGAGGAAGAACTCCACCAATCACCGGCTCTGTGGCTCTGGAGTGGGCAGTAGAGACAATGAAAAGCACCACCACCAACCACAACTACATCGGATCGGATCGGTTCTCTGCTACTGCTGCTGCTTCCATGCATGACCAGAAGGGGGGAGTGAAGTGGAGTAGAGTTGTTGGTCGATGGCAGATGGTTGATGATTCACATCATAATCTCCCATTTTTTTCTTTTTCGACCTCGCATGGCATGCGGACGTGTTTATTTTCCATCATGTATCATCCGAATGGAATATCGGACTGAGTTTCTTTCGTTAAACTTTTTCCGTCGGGGTATCGTTGACGCGTTTCGTTTCATTTCAATTTTTCTTCTTCTTCTTCCGCGCAGCAGAAGGAGAAATGAATGAACCAAGATATCGATTGGTTCATGAGTGGTTGGTGGTTGAGTGACTTGACTCTCCATGCGCGCGCGGGCGCGTACGAGCAACAGAACGCAAGTTCTATTAATGATTGTGTTAGCTCAGCATAATACATATGTATGTGATGATTAATATGATCATCTACAACTGGTATTATGATGAAGAAGAAGAAGAAGAAGAAGAAGACGAAGAGGAAGAAGAAAAAGAAAAAGAAAACAAAACTCACCTATGACAATCCCTCCATCCCCCACCAACTCATCTCAACCCCTCCTTCCAAAAAAACACCCCCCAAATTCATAACAACAAAAAAAACCAACCAACGATAACTCCTTTCTTATTCATCTTTCCCTTTTCCATTCATTCATTCCTTCTTCCCAATCCTTCCCAAATCCTCCCCCCTCTCACCCCAAAACATCACTACTCCCCTCCGTCTCCGTCCTCGCCTGCATCTCCGGCCTCACCACTCCGGCCTCCCTCTGCCCCTCATACCTCATCGCAGCATTCGAATTCAAATACGAAGAATGAGTATTTTGCCCACCACCACCACGATAAACCCCATACCCATTCTCCATCATCATAATCTGTTTATTCCGATCACGAACATCATTCATATACCCGCGTTGATCAGATTGCATTTCCAGCCGGTTTTGATCGTCTTCGGCGCGGCGGGCTTTCATGTATGAGGAGGAGAGGGCAAAGGCGATGAGGACTGCTGCGCCGGAGGAGACGAGGGCGATGACGATTACGGCTGCGGGGGGGAGGCCCATGGTTTTTTTTTGTTGGTGAGGTGTGGTGAGGTGGTGGTGGGTTTTTTTATAACCGGTGAGAGGGTGAGTGAAGGATGGATGGCTAGTAGTGTGTGACGTGTGGTTGGTTGGTAAAGTTCAACAGAAGAGGCTGGGGAGGGTAGATAGATAGATAGATAGAGGGATGGGATAAGGATAACGCACGCGCGGGAAGTTTACATGCCTTTCTCTTATACACAAAATCTGTATAGAGAGATGTATATATAGAAGTAGATACAGGTACAGAGATACAGGTACAGTATCCAGTAGTTCTCTCTCGCTATGCAAACGTAATATGTGGCTCAGGTACCCGACGGGATCCGCTGGGGCAAAATGCAGGAAAGGAAGGAAAAAACCGCCAAACGAACGGGTGTCGGGTAGATGTAGGCAGTGTAGGCAGTGTAGGGGTAGTAGGGTTCATGGCAAGGCAAGGCAAGGGAAGGGAAAAAGTAGTACAGACTACAAAGTGACACGAACCTTGCATTGGCATACGCATGGCAATGGCATGGCGTGATGATAATAGGAGAATTGACTTTTCTTTTCATTCTTCTATTCAGGTACAGTACAAGTACTTCCAGGGAAAAAGTCAAATTTCTTTTCTAAACGCGCGTCTACCTTCTTAGCCATTGTTTTTTATTATTACTTGTTTCTCTTTTTCCGTTCCCCGTCCCTACATATGTAAATGGTAAGAAAAGCTGAGACATGGCTACTAGTCTACTAGCCTAGTAGAGATGAATTCTCTTCCTTCTGTACTCTTGGCGTGGTCTGTCCTATTGGGGCGGGCATCGGATCGGATCCTAGCTCGTTCCGACAACTTGTTTCTATACGACCAGAGTGGTACTGGAGGTGTTGTTTGTTGATGTTGTTGTTTGTTGATGTTGTTGTTGTTGTTGTTGTTGTTGTTGTTGTTGTTGTTTTATTGTAGCTCCCATCCCCCCTCCCCTTTCCATCACCAGAACACTTCACCTACCATTCTCCCCCCCATCCCAATCCAAGCCCGTAGCCAGCAGCCAAGATGTGACAATGACGATGCTGACAACATTAAAAACCCCATCAACAATCCACATCTACGAATAGGATCAACATCGGGGCACACTCTTCCCAAAAGGAATGTATAAAATCTCGCAGCAAGTCGGTACCAAAGGAAAGGAAATACGAGGGCTTATACGAAGGGAAAAGAAGGGCTTTTCGGCTAGTGATGCCGGTGACAATGCCAAGGATGAAAACAAAAGAAAAAAATGGGGATACGAGGTGAGAAGACGAGGTTTGCATAAATTGTGGAGTGTAGCATGACTGGATGGACTGACTGGATTGGATCAGAAGATCTGGTTGTTTTTTTCCTCTTTTTCGTCCTTTTTTTCTTTTCTTTTTTTCTTTTTCTATTTTCCATTTTCTTCGTTTGGTTTTTCATCAAACAAATTTGATAGAGTCCAATGCAAAAAAAAGGGTTGACATCGACTCCATTTCCTATCTACTACTGCAATATTAGTCTTTGGTTAAGATATATAGTACATGTAGTAAGAGTTACTCCAAAATCTACTACCTACCCGGATGTCATCTTCCCCTTCCCTTCCCTATTTACTCTCTACCAGATCACCCTCTACCAGATCATTACCCTACTTTTTTTATGACTTCGGATCCCTTATAGTTTTTTCTCCCGACAACACAACACAACACATCTCTCTCTCTCGTCGCCCAGCAAAAAAGGAGTCGACTGAGTAGTCAGATTCTTCTTTTTCCTGTCTGTCTGTTAGACTACACAACTGTATAGTGAATTCTCATCACAGCTTGGGTAAGAGTAGGAGGAGGAGGAGGAGGAGAAAAAAAATTTAGACTGGATCGGATTAGATGAGATTAGATACTACAAGCTAACTACCTACCCTTAGGTAACTAAGGTAGCTACAGTACCTTATATATCAGTAAGGTAGGCAGGTAAATCTCCCTACACCAAAATCTCCTTCCCCCATCCTCCTCCTCCCCTCTCACCCTTCATCCTATCCTCCTCATTCCAAACATTCACCAATTGCGGCCCTTCCTCATCAACCAAATACCCCAACGGACAAGAAGAAAATTCCACGCGAGGTTGCGAGGCGTAAAATTCATCATATTGCGATTGGAGCGCGTCTTGGAGAGTTTGGACGTTTCCGTTGGGATGTAATGTCTCCCAGGGTTTGCGACAGGTGTGGGATTTGCAGGTTTTGAGGACGAGGAGTAAGGTGTCGAGGCGGGTGGAGAGTTGGTGGAGAGTGCGGTCTGCGAGAATCTGTTGGTGGTGGTGTTGTTTAGCGGGCGACATGTCAAGAAGGTGGTGATTTTGGAAAAGATTGTGAATCTGATCGGGGTCTTTATGCATGTTGTAGAGTTCTCGCTCGCCTGTGCACCAGACAGTGTAGAGGAAACTGTATTCGGCTGCGACGATTCGAAGGGCTTTGTACGTGTTATTCCGTGCCGATACACGAGGGTAACCCGGGAGAAGAGGATCGTCGCCGAGTTTGCCGTATTGTCCTTCGGGTAGAGCACGGCCCCAGAATTCGATATTGACGTGCTCTCCGGATGTCGCTGGTTTCATCAGCTGCTCTGCTTCCGTCGATGATAATGGTATGGGAGTACCATCGAGATCGGGTCGATTTTGACCAGCGAGCTTCAAGATGGTGGGAGCTAGGTCCGTGTGGGAACTGACGATGCCAGCGACCTGGCCACGTGGGACGCCCGGCCCTCGTATTAGGAGTGGAACGTTGATGTCGGTCTCAAAGGGACATTCCTTGCCTGGTGGCAGACGATGTTGAGAGATGTGGTAGCCATTGTCAGTGGTGTAGATGATGTATGTGGTGTCGAGCAGACCGTGGCTGTCGAGACGCTCTACAATCTGCTCGACCATCTCGTCGACTGACTGCAGAGCACGAAGTCTGCTTCTCTGGTACTCATCGTTGTACTCCACCACAGTCGCATTCAACGGGGCCAGATTCTTGACCCAACTGACGCCCGAAGCCGCCTCGGGATTGAAGTTGGCCGTGCGAGGGATCTGATAGTCCTGAAATAGGTGCGCATGTCGTGGGGCATACTGAGGGGCTGTCATGACGCCGCGCGCTTCGGGATCCTGGTCGCTGTGCGGTGCAATGGGCGCTGCAACGATGAAGAACGGCCGATCATGGTGCGAGGCTGCCTCGTCCAGCCAGCCATACGTCTTCTCGGCGACCACGTCAGGGGAGTATTGGCCTTCATAGCTGACGGGATCGGCATGGTTGCGACTCATTTGAGATTTCCAATACGAGTATGTATAGGGGTCGAGAAGAAAGTCGGACCCGTTGAAGCCGTTGACGGGCGGATTCCTGTGGTTGTGTACACTATGCGAGTTGAACAGTTTTCCTGTGTAATACGTGTTGTAGCCTTCTGCCTGCAGCCAGACCGGAAGCCAATTCTCGTTGAGGCCGTTCTTGACAAAAACTGGATAGCCCCCGTATGGAGGAAATCTGCCCCACAAGATCAGCTCCTGTCAGCTCTCATATCAGCACTTCTAACGAACAAGTCGGTCACATTCGTATTGTGAGCTGCCTGACCCGTCCAGATATTGACTCTACTGGGACAGCAGATGGCAACGGTGCAGTAGTGCTGATTAAAAGTCGTGCCTTGATCGGCAATATGTTTCTGGAGCAATGGCATATAGTCGAGTGATGACCAGTTATCTTGATCGTCTGTCAGGATGAGGACAATGTTCGGCTGCTTCGGGGTGGTTGCGTGCGTGATGCATATCGCTGTCGACAGAGCGAGGAGCTCCTTGCGAAACCACATTTTGACGAAATCTATGTCGTGGTCTTGCTCTACCACTGACGATTATGCTGCTGCTGCTACGAAGGCACGAGGGTCCTCAAGTGCTCAAGTGGCTAGTGACCGTCTGTGATATTGCATCCAGCATTTGATGGTATCGAGGAGGTCAAAGTCACAGCAGTTGAATGACAATGGACGGGGAAACTAATGATGATGATGATAATTTTGTTGTTGGGGAGGGAGGATGAGGGCGGGAGATTAAATTCTTGGCGTCATTGTGGAGGAACTTTTCTTACTTTCTCACCCTCTTATCCTCTCTCCAACTCTCTCTCCCCCGCCCCTCCTATTTCTCTCTTGATATATCATCGTTCACACTCGTGGTTCCAGCTTCCCATCCTCAAACAACAAAAGACTCTCTAAAGTGGCACATGGCCATGGCCTCAACATTCTGTCCCTAGGCGGCGGGGCTCCAGAACCACCGAGACTGATTTGGTCGTACTCTGTCGAGGAGATGTCTAGGACGGTAAAAGGAGGCTTCTCTATCGTCAGTCTGGCGGGGAATGGCCCATTTCTCGGTGAAGTGTACAGAGAGTGCCGTGGTACAGCCATGGACCGCCCACTCATTCCGCCTGGCACCGATTCGATATAGTTCTGTGCAAACGGGCTGAGCCTCGAATCGCACACTCCAGTGCCTTATTTGCACCTCACTGGACAGGTGCTTGGCATATAAGCTTCCTTTGGTACCGGGTTCCGCACTGGAACAAACTCGGGGGGCCAAAGCAACGCTTCAGCCTGAGCAACAATACCGCGTTGCACGCACAGCGCAGAGTACCTGTCACATGAGCTGGGAAGTCATTCTCAACCAGTTTCATGGGGGGTTGAAGTGAACGGCTACCGATGTGCATGAGCGGAGGCGCTTGGCGATCGACGAATGCATCGCCAAACGAACCGTGTATGGAATTACCTCCTACGACTAGGAGGCAGGAAAGTAGGAGCATTCAGGCACACGTGTCATTCACAGCAAGGCTGCAGGAAAAGCTTTCCCGAGGCACACACCGTCACTGTAGCTGCAGCGAAGATATCGTTGTCTTTGCAGTATAATACCGTTAATCCGTATTCTCGTGCAGCGGAGGGCTTGGTCAAGCCGGCAGCCCGCTGTTCTGGAAGCAAACTAGAAGGAATTGACAGAGAAATGTCTCGGAAAGGGTGCTGCCACAAAGGCTTGAATGATACCAGTTCGCTTACAACTACTTCTTCCTCATCAACCCTCAAACGTGAACACGACTTTGCACTGAGACAAGACGTCGATGCCAATGCCTGGGCAGAAGGACAAGCTGCCAAGACGGTGCGTGTTCGGGGCTTCTCGAATAGAACTAAGCCCCGGAAAATTCGGTTTGTCTCATATCTCGATCCTCGCGAGACAAACATCGGCTTCCGGCGGTCAACAAGTGCTCGCTGTGAGAAGCCCCTAAGGTACGGTACTCAACAATTGGACGACAAGACGTCTGTGGTCCTTCAATTGCCATGAAAATCACAGGCGACTCTACGCGAGCATGTGGTGTTCGCGCTAGTTCTAGCCTTCTGCGAACCCAGGGCGCCAACAAAAACTTAGTCTCATAACATGTGGATACGCACACTACCTTTTGGTCTGCTGTCCGTCGCTCCGTCGGTAGCCGCTATGATGGCAATAGTATGGTAATAGCTTCCTATTCAGTGGTGCTCCAAGGCCACGTCCTTGCGAACTCGATCCACTTTCTTTCAAAAAGCACCAGAATCTCCCGCCATCTTTCTCGCCATGACATGACAATACCACTTCGACTTTGCACAATATAGGACCAACCATGCTCCTGGACAGCAAGAAAGCACACGAGGCGAGCCTGGCTCCTGTGTCGACGAATGGTCTCGGCGAGGTTGAGAGCCTGGCCAAATCGAATGATGCGCCCCAAGATGTCTTTGGGCAACTGAGCGAAGATGGTCCCAACTATCGCGATGTGAGTGACGAGCATGAAGATTGATCATCACAACGTCTCACTGACGAACATACTAGGTTGGCTGGGCTGGGACTGCGATTCTCATGTTCAAGACTCAGGTCGGCTTGGGAGTACTCGGCATCCCAGGTGCATTCGATGTCTTGGGCATGATTCCGGGAATTATCATGATCCTCCTCATCGCATTCATGACCACCTGGGCCGCGTGGATGGTGGGCCAATTCAAGATCAAGCACCCTCACGTATATGGAATCGACGATGCAGGACGACTCATTGCCGGTGCCTTTGGTCGCGAGACGTTCTTCTGGGCTTTCGTCGCTCAATTCACCTTCATCGCGGCGTCCGCCATGATCAGTATTTCCATTGCCATCAATTCGTTGTCCGTCCACGGCGCTTGCACGGCCATCTTTGTTGCCGTGGCTGCCCTCATCGGTTTCTGCTTCGGAAGTATTCAAACTCTGGCCAAAGTGTCGTGGATTGCGTGGGCGGGTGTCGCTGGAATCCTCACTGCCATCTTCACCCTGACCATTGCTGTCGGGGTCCAAGAGCGGCCTGCTGCTGCCCCCCAGACGGGCGAGTACAAGAGCGACTACAAGCTGTTTGGCTCGCCGACGTTCGCGGAAGCCATCTCGTCCGTCTCGACCATTGTCTTTGCCTTCTCTTGCCTGCCTGCCTTCTTTGCTTGCTACGCAGAAATGAGGGATCCTCGCAAGTTCACGCGCTCGCTCTGCGTCGCCCAGGGCAGTGTCACCGTCGTCTACCTCTGCATCGGCATTGTGGTCTACTATTACTGTGGATCATACGTCTCATCTCCAGCTCTGGGCTCTGCAGGAACTCTTATGAAGAAAGTGTGCTATGGCATTGCTCTGCCGGGTCTGATCGCCAGCTGCATGTTGTTCATTCACATGCCCGCCAAGACCATCTTCATCCGCTTCATGCGCAACACCCGCCACCTCACATCGAACACACCCATCCATTGGATGTCGTGGCTGGGATGCACGGGGACAATCACTGCAGTGGCGTACATTCTGGGAAATGCCATTCCGGTCTTCAGTCAACTGCTGTCTCTTGTCGGCGCGCTGCTTGCGACGATTACCTGTTTCCAACCGACAGGCCTGATGTGGCTGTACGACAACTCGGGCTGGTGGCAAGCCGAAAACTTTAGCAGACCCACTCGGAACTGGTTCTTCTACTTCAATTTCGCCACTGCAATGTTGTTGATCATTGGCGGCACATTTGTCACCGTTGGTGGTACTTATGGTGCGATCTTGGAGATCATTAATGCAGAGCGAACTAGCCCTTGGAGCTGCGCAGACAACAGTAACTCGACATAACGCGTCGTATATTGCTCTCAGCGCCACAGGAGCAAAGGGCGGAGGTTGAGCTGTCTCCGTACATGCACTCCACACACGTACGGACGGTCCTGGTAGACGAGGCCCGTCCGTTTTATTACTAGCTGGTCAAGACACTCAAGGCTCCTCCGACTTGTCTCGAATTGTGTCTTGCCGCATGACATGCTGGCACTCGCGATCGCCAAGAACATACATGGGCCAGTCGAGGGCGACTGTAGCATCCCAGAGATCTGGTCACGCGGTCGACCATTTCAGCGCTCCCTGGATCAACGACAGATACACAGAGCAAGACTACCCCCGAGCACCCCCAGCATCCCAACGACATACACAGCGCTGCTGCGTTGGCTCACCGGCGCTCGATCTTGTTGATCAGGCCATCACCATCCCCTCGCACTGTCGACTGCCAGCTGCAATGCTGCTCTCCTCTGCTGGATTGCTACTCCATATATGCAACTGGTCTTTCGAGGAAATCCAGCCTTCATCTTTAAAAAGAAAATATGCTTCTCGAATATCTTGTTATGACCTTCCCCTGCTCGGTTTAGCGCGACACGGTCCAACGCCCTGACTCTCTCTCTCGTTCTAGTACCGGGTGGAACATACTCGATAGAAGCAGTCGAGGCAGAACAAAGCGAGAGTGAGAGAGAATTTTTTTTTTGGTAAGGTCAAGATTGAGGCCCGACAACCTGAGACTAGAAGCGGATATAACAAAAAAGCAGAGAGCACGATCGAAATAAAAAACGATATAGCCTGCCGTTGTAGTGATGAGGGGTAACAGATCACAGGTTATATACAAGAATCACGATAAGATATCGAGAAAATCATGCTGATGGTCTGTATGTGTGTGGTGGACATCGCGCACCATGCCCCAAAAAAAACATCTTCGTCATCGTCATCGTCGTCTCTACTAAAATTCCTCGTGGGGATACCTTTAGCTCAAATAAAACAGAAAAAATGGAACAAAAGCACAATTTCACCTCGCCATTTTTTCCCGCTACTGTGATTAGATAGACTCCTAGCCATAAGCCCTCAAATTTCCTTACCTATTAATCCCTTCCCTGCTTCCTTTCTCTCTTCCTTTCTATCCTTCCTCCTCCTTTCCCTTCTCATCCAAATTCTTTTCTACATATCTCCCTCATCTCTCTCTCTCTCCCTCTCTCTTGCTATCAACACTACCCAACAATACCTTACCTTATCTACAATCTACAATCAACAATCAACCGTCGACGGTCGATATTTCAATAGCTGACACCTCCCTTTACTAGGAGATCACATACCTCAAACCCACCCCATCTATGCAGTGAATCTTTCTTTCTTTCTTTCTTCCTTTTATCTCTTTTCTTTTCCCTTCGCAAACAATGTAAACGCACAACAATGCACGACTTTCTTCTTTCCTACCTTACCGACTTAATCTCAATGACTTGGGTGAATTTTATCAGAACAGCGAACAGCTGCCTTTTGAAGGATTAATTTCCAGGCTAGGGCAGGCCAGGGCAGGGCAGGGCAAAATATGGATCTTTTGCCTTATTCGTTCATAGCTCATGTCATGTCATGTCAAAAACGGACGGACGGGGATGAAGCAGTTCAGGGCTCTGAATTTCGAAAAGTTTCGAAGGGGGAAGGGGGGAAGGTTTGCTTAGGTCGCGGTTGCCGGGTAAAGCACATTTCTCTCCGTTTCGCTGTCTATCTGGTGAATGGGTGCGGAAGGAAGCTTCGGGAATGGTGATTTGAAGGATGTGTGTGGGCGGGGATACCTACTGTTGGGGCGAGCCTCTCTGCGGATTAGTAGAGCAGTCTTCATCGTCAAATTAATAACAACCAATGGAAAATTCATACAACCGATGGACAACAAGAAAGAGTCCGTCAGCATAGAAAACTTTTTTCATTATTCATTTTTCTCCCCATCTAACAGCAGCTCGCTCTCTTTCTCTCTCTCTCTTTCCCTCTATTGGGCGTATTTTCCAGGAGATGCCCTGGTACGCCTGCCCAGGGAGGGCAAGCCCGCCGAGACGACTCTCTCCCTCTCATCTTCCGCCCACAAGGGCCGGCCCCCCGTGACCTCGTACCACTTGCCTTTGGAGAGATACTCCATTCGGACCCGCGGCTCCTGCCGAGAGGGGTCCAGGCCCTCGGCATTCACCGCGAGGTTGACGAGCTCACTCGCCCGCACCGTACCAATGCGGCCCTTGCCCTTGCGCTCCCTCCGTGGTGGTGCTGCTGCCGCTGCCTGATCTGGGTGCTCTTCTGACGGGGCGGCGGATGCGGAGATGCTGGAGAAACGCCGTTTTGGCGAGGCGGCGCGGGCAGCGAGGGAGCGGCTGGACGGCGGGCTGGGGTGCATCAGTGATGCTGGTGGTGCGGGTGGTGGTGGTGGTGATGATGATGATGGGGGTGGTGGTGGTGCCTTCACGGCGTAGTCGTCGTCTTCTGCTGCCGAGGCAGCAGAGATGCGATGCATCTTCTTCTTCTTCTTCTCTGCTGCTGGTGCAACACTATCGGCGCGAGACGGGGGTGGTCTGATGGTGAGATTGCGGTTGCCCGCGGCGCCGAGCGCTACGTCTTGTGCTGCGCAGACGTCTGATGGGGTGTGTCGTGGCTGGAAACGACCGAATCCGCGATCTTTGGTCAAAAATTGTAACACGGCATCATTTTCGCGTGGTGGCGGGCTCGGGTAGCGGATGCGTGTGCTTGTCACTCCCTGGTCGCCGCCTCGGTCGGTCTGGTGGAAAATCCTAGGGGAAAGTCAGTCAACGACAAAATCATCAATGTGCGCCGCCGGAAAGGTGTAGAGTGATGTGTTTCCCATCATTCGAACCGTCTCGTGTGCAAGAGAACCACTCACATGTTGTCCGACTTCTTCGTTCGAATTATCCGTTTTCCAGGAGGTGAATGATGATGACACGCAGGCGATGCAGAGATGATCTCGACGCGGCAGGATATTCACCAGAGGTACACGGATATCAGAAGGCGTCACAAGGGATGAGAATCGGGTGCGCTGTCTGGTTCAGGAGAAACTTGTCGATGTGAAGTGTTTGTGTCGAAGTCGAGGTCCGGTCTGAAATGCGAAAATCGCCAAGAGGACTAGCGCCTGTGCGTTGGGTACGTGCAGGTGACAATAGCAACTCCGTGTCAGACAATGAGAGCGCAGCGGCGTGTCGGCTGATGTGGGCGATACAAAAGAAGCTGACGAGGTTGTGGTGATGGTGTGGGAGAGATGAAGTGTGGAAAGTGTGTCATCAGCAAAGATTAGGTACGGTTGAGGTGCCCATCTGAGCCACCTCAAACGCCAAGTACACAACGATCGGACCGGCAATAATGCCAACACAAGCGTCAAAGAATGTTCCACCAACCTTGTTCATTCGTGAAGCGTGCCGACAACAGGAGTGATACGGTCGTACTGATAATACTACTGAGATGATATGTGCAATATGAGATTCTACTACCACTACCGCCCGACCGAGATGGGCAGTACCGCTGACTCGCGCCGCCCTTGCATGGAAACTGCTCGTTCCAAGCTGCTCCATCCGCCGCCCTGCACTCATACGCGCACGACCAGTCAGACCGAGCAGAAAGGACTGCTCGCGACAAGGCACCAAGTGGTGATTTGACGTATACCACTAGCATCGTGCCACTGGACCTGGAGCAGTGAACATGCCGCTCTATCGCCGCCAAATCCCCCCTGGGGCCAGGATACAGTGGCAGCTTGCCAGACAATATTGCCTCTAGCGAGCCCAGTGCATACGGCGACACCGCCAGCCACAGCGGCCTACCGCACCCACCGTAGAGCCATACGGTGTGCCAGGGAGGCCGCGCGCTCTCGCCGCTAAGCGTCTTCTGCGCGAGTCGACCGTGCGAACTCGGCCGGCCAGATCAACACAACCTGCTCGACGGGTCCGTCGCGACGCATCACACAGCTCGCGCTGTATTGCAGCCTCTTCCGGGGATCGTTCGCGCGCAACAACTCTAGCACCACCCTAGGTCGGCAAGCGCAAGGCTCGCTTGACAGCGGGGTGGAAGTCGCGGCACTCATCATTCCACGGTTCAGGCCGGACAGAAAAATATACGAGCTTGATGCGCGTAGTCTTTACTCGGAGTCAGCTCGAAAGACCGCTTCGCCACGCCTCTGGCTACATATGGCTCTTGCAGAGGTCCACTCTACGTGGATACGCAGACGGCCAGCCATATGATCACATTTGTAAAGGAATTCAGAAAGATGCATTTCACTGCGACACGCGTCAGCGTATGATGCTACAATGCCGAGGAACGACGGTTGCAATACAATTTGCTATCGAACCTGACCACACAGCTTACTGCAACTTCAGGACGAGAGCCTCGACAGGCGTGCATACAGGGACATCGCCCGCGGGTCTCTCACATTCCCCTAATCAGGTGCTGCTCGATGCCCATCACATAACATGACGTGCACGAAGCCAGCACATCTTCGACTTAGTAGTTCTCCCACAGGTCTTTGACATAACCTTCCGTCAGCTCCTTGTCCTCACCGTGGCTGCGAAGGGAGTCAGCACGAGCGGAATAACAGACCGCATGGCACTGCCACAGCAACAACTCACGCTTCTTGCCACTTCTGGAAGCCGCCATCAAGAACATACACCTTCTGCTTCTGCTCTGCCTCCTTGCCATGCAAACGCTCGCGCTCTCGCAAATACTTCAACGCACTCGAAGGGCCTCGTTGCTGGGACAGAGCACAGTGAAAGACGACCGTATCTTTCTCCTTGAGGGTTCGCACGAGCTCCGGCATTCGGTAATCGTGTGTCGCCGTTGGCACATTGATGCAACCACGAATGTGCCCACCGATGTAGTCGCTGTCTCGTACATCAATCACCGCAAGACTCGCATTCTGCTCGCGCACGAGCGGCGTTAGAGTCTCATGCGTGATGCGGGGCAGGTTGGCGACGCTATAGGTTGACATGGTCGCCGCACGGGAGCTTCTCTTGTCGATGTGTCTCACTGATGCGAGACAGGTCTGTTCTGCGAGGCGACTCCTCGACCACCACACAGGCGAGCGACCACGATGTGCACGCTGGTCTGTCGGCGAAGCTCCCTCGGGAGGATTCGGCGGTCCACGATGGTTGTGCAAGGCTACACCAGTGAGATGACGCTGTTGCACGGCCCGGGCACGATTCAGAGGCCGTGTCTACGCGGGAGAAATGGACTGGCACAGGTCCGTCAGTACTGCAACATCCCGTCGTGGAGATGGTATGACTATCTACCAGGCGGGAACAGAGGGCGGGAGACACGAATGTTGATGTTGTTAGACAGGGAATTCGTTCATGACTGAGTTGGAGAGGAGACGAGGTTGGATGTGCGGCCCCACTCGGCAAAACCAAGCGATTTCGGTCAATAACCAGCAGAGGATATCAGTTCCATATCGACATTCTGATCATTATTTATATATCATGATATATGATATCCGCAACTCGACACCGGGCATCTCATGTATCAAAGCACCGTGAGCTGCGTTCGAAGCACGGATTGACAGGACAATAGAATCACCTATAGCTTCGACGGCTTCCACCTCGGCTTCCGCTTCTCGACAAAAGCCCTCACCCCTTCGGCCATATTATCTCCCGCCTGTAGCTTGGGCTGCCAATGCTCCAGAGCATACTTGGTTGCATCCTCCGCTCCCATGCCCTCCCATCCGAGCTTAATGCCTTCTCGACTCACAATCACCGCATCAGGACTATTTCCCGCAATCAACTTGGCATATTCCACCGCAGCATCCACCACCTCGCCGTCCGCGTCGCCCACGACTTTATTAATCAATCCCCACTCCAGCGCCTCTTTCGCCGACACTTGCCTCCCCGTCAACGCCATCTCCATTGCTCGCGGCTTTCCTATCGTGCGAATAATCCGCGGTAATGCCCCTGCAGCCGCCACAACTCCCACTTTGACTTCTGGCAGCGCGAAAACTGCTTTGTTCGCAGCTACGACTAAATCGCAATTGACAATCATCTCACAGCCCCCTCCGAAGCATATCCCATTGACTGCAGCAATGATCGGTTTCTTCCCACTCCTTCTCGAAAGTGCCCCGAATCCCATTCCGTTGATCGCCTTGGGTGTGTTTTTGGTATTGAGCTTGTTCCATTCTGTGCTGCTGTATCAGCTTCAGCTTCATACTGATCTCCCTCCCTCCCTTCCTCCCAAACTACTCATCGTATATCTACCTTATTCATCACCTACCTTTCAAATCCGCCCCCGCACAAAACGCCCGACCCGTACCCGTGATGATTCCCACCGACAACGTCGGTTCCTCATCCAACCACAACCAAATTTTCTCGAGCTCTTGCGTGAATTCGGCATTGATGCAGTTTAAACCTTTGGGTTTGTTTAAATGTACGAGTAAAACTCCTGCTGCGGGATACGATATGATGGAGTTTTTGGTTGGAGGTGCTGGGTGCTGGAGTTTGGGTTGGAGGTTTATGGGGGGCATGGTCGTGCGTGTGTGTGTGTGTGGGCGTGGTTTTTCACGGGGATTGGAGGAAGCTCTATCTCTCTCTCTCTCTCTCTGAGATGGTGGGGTTTGAGAGATGTCGAGTGTGTGTATCCTAGGGAGCTGGAGGAGGGAGTGGAGTGTACCTGTTTGTGCTGTCAGGTACATGGTGAGGAGACGCGCTCTCTGAGTGTCTGCCGAGGTTGCTCGTTAATCTGTTTCTTCAATCCTGCATTGATGATAGGCATGATTTATTGTCAGCACTCCCCAGCAGGACGATACGCAATAATACTGTATAGGTACATGTCCTTTCGCCTGCCATACAGATGCATGTTTCGAAGTGCTTGTCGCTGCTTTCTGATGTTGCGACTCGTAGAATCACGTTCGGAACTATTCAACGCGCAACAAGAACGCGACGCATCTTCTAGCTTCCGCTAGCGAGAAAAAATCGAGCAGACTAGGAGGTACAGCTGTGTCGATATACTACCAGGTCGAATTTATTCTGGTTACTCCTCCTAGGTGGTAATGTGTGTTGCTTTCTCTGAGCGGCCGTTCAATGTAGGTAGGGTACAACAGGAAGGTGGTTGAGATGCCTCCGTACCTCACTATCTACCTGAACCAGTCAGTGCATCCCAGCTCGTCTATCTCACAGTCAGCATGAAAGGTATATAGTATACTTCAAGTTCAAGCGTGCCATGGTCGGCCTCCTTAGCTCAGCGGTAGAGCGCGTCACTAGTAGTCTCCTCCAAGTCTCCGTAATGACGAGGTCATCTGTTCGATTCAGGTAGGAGGCATTGATCTTTTCCTTTTTTTTCTTCTTTTTTCCCTTCGTCGCCTGAACCGAGTTTGGCGGTGATTGTTATACAACAACATTCATATCTTTTCCACCCTTTTGCTTTGGAAGAGGAGGATATAGTCCTCCTTCGATTTTGTTCTTCTTTTCTTTTTGCTACTACTCTTCTCCCGAGCGCGCCTCCCCCTTTTCTTGCGCTGGACCTAAAGCTGATTGATATATTATGTATCTTACAGATTAAAGCTATACCGTACCTTTCTTTGCAAACGTGATATGATATATAGGTATGCGTACCAATAACTCATTTCAAATGGACAATAATTGTGACCTATGATTGAGAAGTTCCTGGCTCATGACCACTTTTTCTTCACATTTCCATCTGAACTCGCCAGCTTAGCTGGGCTTGGCTGGGCTGGTTGGCATCGAAAGGGGCGGACTGAGTGAGAGAAAGGAGGGGGAACGAGATGGAACTTCTACAAAAGAATAAGTAGATTAAATTGTTGCAAACGAAACGGGTAGTCTTACGTTTCGTCGAGAACGTTTCGATTCGACAATTTTTCTGGAAAAAAGAAAAGGCAGGAGGGGAGAATAAACGTTCAAGTACGTATTCTTTCTTGGCAAGAAAGGAAGAAAGGAAAGAAAAAGAAGACAAAATGTCTCTCAATGGACTGACTGATGGAGTACGATGATTTGTTATTTGTCTGGTCCTATAAGTATCTTGTACATCTATCTATCAGTCTGCTCTACATGCATCCGCCAAGAGCACTTTGGTTATATATAAACTCGTTCTCGGATCATATGCTGGTGGTGGTGGTGGTGGTAGTAATGATACTGGTACTGGAGGGTTCCTCCGGCTGTTGTCATATATTGGTGATGGAGGTAGTGGGAGAAGATAGTTCTGGCTGGGAATTCTTCTGGTGGTAGCCTTGTCACCAGTATCGCCGCTATCGCCGCTGCTATACCTCCTCCTCTCCGTGACAATGTTATCGCCAAAAATCCAGGGGATTTCTTCTAATGTTCTTTGTTTCGTCTCGGGAAACATGAGCCATGCGACGAGGAAGATCAGGACTGTCGGGCCGAGAAAGACATAGTAGTCTATTGTGAAGTGAAGTATTGAAAGTCAGTCGAGATTCGTTTTTTTCTTTCCCCTCTTTTCGTTTCTCTGTTCGACTCACAATTATGCTTGATCGTCACAAACGCCATTGGTGCCGATTCGGAAAATCCTGCGATAATTGCAAGAGATGCGGCGCCCGTTACGCCCATGACTTTGCTGCGTACGGCGATGGGTAGGACTTCTGCTTGGTAGATTCCTGGAGTGCTGCCGAAACATGCATCTGTTGGCAAAACAAAAAGAAAAGAAGAACGATAGTCAGCCTGATGAGCCAGTTGGTACAAAGCTATAATCATTATTCGGGGAAAGGGGGAGGAGGGTTTCTTTCTCAGGGGAGTTCTCACAATAAACCACCGTAAACAGATAAATCCCCAACACAGCAAACGCCTTTCCAACTGTATTCTCACCAAAAGCAAACTGCCACTGCGTAATCGCACAATAAATTTGACAAAACACACTCCCCGCCAATCCCAACAAGAGAAGATTTCGGCGTCCCCACCGATCAATCACCAATTTATCTGTAAACAGCACCGCGAGAAAACTGACTGTACCATGTGCACCCGCCAACGTCAGACGGTCTCGGACTTCGATGCCCAGCGTTTGGTATAATCGGACTTGGTAGTATCCAATGACTTGTGCGCCTGTCAAACTCGGAATGATGCCGCAAATGAGAGCTACAGCCATGCGGTAGCGAAAGAGTCGGATGCGTTCGGAACTGGCTAGGCGGCGACGAGCTTCGAAATCGATTTGTGCAGTCATTTGGGCGAATTCGTGATCTGCCTCGTCGAGATTGTAGCCAATGCGTAAGCGATCAAAGACTGCTCGCGCGTGGGCTATTCGGCCCTGAAAAATCAAATATCGGGGCGATTCGGGGACAAACGTCGCGAGGCCGATGAGGAGGATACAACTCCAGGGAGTCTGGAGAGCGATGGGGAGACGCCATTGGAGAGATCCATACGGTGCGTAGCTACATGCCATCCCGACCCAGTTGGATATCATGATTCCTAACCCTAGCATGAGTCCTGAACACCCTGCGATGAGGCCGCGGTTGTGAGCTGGTGCTATCTCGCAGAGATAGAGAGCGATGGTGGTATACATGGCGCCTGTGGGCAGGCCTGCGAGAGCTCGGCCGGCGATGAAGGTTTGCATGTTGGTCGACACGGTTTGAATCACGGGACCGATGGCGGCGAAGGCGGTGAGTAGTTGGAGGAAAGGAATGCGACCGATGCGGTCCGCGACAAGGACTTGGAGGAGACAGCCGAGAGCCTGACCAGCGTAGTAGAAGGAAGCGACTGCTCCAATCCATTCTTGAGACGGATAGTTCATGTGCTTGATCCAGCTCGTTTTGGTAATGGTGGTGGTGACAACGCCGCTGTCGTAGCCGGATCTACTACAGATCAGCTACCTAGATGAGCAACAAATTCGCACATGTGGACTTACAGGAAAGTACCGAGACCAACGAACATTGCGAGTGGTAGCAAACCCATTCCATGTTTCGCCATGGCCCAGAGGTATCGGAGTGACTCTAGATCATCGTAATCAAGAGCAGGTCAGGTCACCATCAAGATAGAAGTATCTGAACAGCTGCAAAGCCCGATCAGGAACACTAGACATGCCGCGCCGTTCGTGACGAGGTTCATGGTGGTCTTCCATCGTTTTGGATCGACGGTGACAGGATCAGCACGTCTGGTAACTTTCTTGGTCGTTCTCAACCGCATGTGATTCCCGGCAACGAGAAGGAAGAAGGGGAAACCGATTAGTTTTCGCATGGCTACATGTACAACATGTGCTGCCATGTAGACAATGCTTGCGTCAGCCAGCCTGCAATGGACAGCGCTTCCTAGCCAGCATCAACCGGTGTCCGGAAGCCAAGAGTGTCAAGACGGTCCTCGCCACACGGATCGTGCGGCAGACACCAGGATTCGCTTCCTATAAGAGTAGCTATCCTGGGACAAGTTAGGAATAACGATGGTGCCAAGAACGATTGGGCATTGCAGCCTACACATACATAAGACACCTACTGAGAGCGATGCTCGAGCAAAAGTCCGGTCCTGCTGCAGCAGGATCTTCACCGCAACAATTCATTGCCAAACAAGCCTACGACGCTTCAAAGAGCAGCCGGGGAAAAACGAAAAGAGCTGAATACTGTCAATGTCCAATCAAGTATGATCCTGGCGCGTGAGAAGACATGTTTCCTTGTAAACCAAGACTAAGTATACATACACATAGCCCTAAGCTCAGACCTCTGTGCAGCGCGCGCAGCCATACACGTGGTGGCCATATAACACGGACAGGTCTCCCCCAGGAACGAAAGAAATCGTTCTGGAAGCCTGCGCACAAACGATGGTGATGAGTAGTGCTCTAGAAAGAAAGAAGTTGGTGTATCATCATGAGCTTCTACGGGGAAGTTGGAAAGGGAATCGTGCGTCGGTCGTGAAATGCTGGTATCGTTGTTCATGCTCTATGGTGTTTCATGTTCTGTGGTCGTCGTTCAATAAGTGAAAAAGCAAGGAAGAAAAAGGATCACTGAAACGATCGTCTAGTCTCGCGATATCTCCAGCAAGCAAAGCTGAGCTCAAGCCACCCCTGGCGAGCACATATTCAAAAATCGTAAAAATCTGTCAGTGTACTCGAGCAGTGTTGTTGTTGATGATCAGTTTCAAAGTGCCTTGCGAGTCGGCTGTGGTCGAGACCAGATGGAGCAAGCCACGCATATTGACATGGGCACCCAGATGGGTGCGTCCCCCACGCCGGCTGTAGACCTGGGCGAGGACATGATTCTCATGTGAGCCCTGGCTGATTTTCAACGCCGTGAGAATGCGATGGGTTAACGTGTCGGTTTGTGTCACGCCCGCCACATCGACTTCAACAAACGTGCGGTCCCCCGTAGAGACCATGATACATTTATCCTCTTGTTCGTCTGGGCTGCGAGGCGACTTGGAGGAAATGCGCAGATTCTTGAATCGGAGGACAGCTTTGTGAAGGGTCCAGAAGCCAGCAGTACCAGGAAATGTTGTTGATGTTGTTGTGGAAGACGCGGGAGATGCGTGGTCAAGGACATCACCTGTTGCGATTGAGCCCGCAATGGGAGTCTCACTGGGCTGAACGTGGTGGACCTGTTTCAGATGGCGAGCGACGTCTTTCGGGTAGAGAAAGCGCTTGATCTTGCCGCTCATGTTGCACTCGGGGCACGAGTGCTTCTTCTCCTCTTCGGGAGCGTGTGTGCGTCCGTAGTGCTTCTTCTCGTCACACGAACGACTGAAGACGTGTCCACAGCCTTCGCGGCATGGAAAGCCATTTGGGACCTGCTTGTGACGCTTGCTGTTCTGTTTGACCAGCCCACTCATGGTGCCATTTGTATCTGTACGTCCTCTTTTCGACAGCGACCTGGTCGGATGAACGAGAGAGGCCCCCTGGTCCGCCGCCGAGGGGACTACGGTGAGTGATGGACGTTCTGCCACGCTGGGCTGCTGACTGTGGGCTGCGTGTGCCGAGACGCCATTGCAAGTGCCACAAGGCAGACGGGGCGATGGTGCACGGAGGGGACGTGAGGCGGTCGACGCGTTGGTCTTGGCCAAGGGTACTCCGGTACCCGTCTGGTATGCCTCAGGCTTGATCAGATCTTCGAAGCCAAAGTCGACATCAGAGTTCGAATCTGAGGATGGTGTAGCGCTGCATCGAGGCTCGCAAGTCGGGTCGGGAGGTGTAATCGGAGATATGGGTCGTTCAGCAATGGGGAATCCGATATAGGATGTCGACGGCGAGGGTCCCGTGGACAATGTCAGGGCCGGTGGGCTGGAGAGCGGGATCTCGAGAGCGTCATGGCGGATATACTGCCTGAGCTCACTGTCCTCGGCATTCACATCATCGTAGGCAGCGGCAGCGAAGGGTGGGTTGAAATTGTAGCCCACGAGCTCATCCTCGAAGTCTTGTCCGAGCAGGCCGGTGTCGCGCTTGGCGTGGTGTCCGTGGGCGTGGGGTGTACCGGGCTCTACTAGCTGAACCATGTCAGCCATTGTCGCGGCCCTGAGGCTCAGCAGAATGTGCCTGTGGAGAACAGGCAGTGATCATAGAATGGATGATGATGATGATGGTGGTGGTGGTGGTGGTGGTGATTGCAGAGGACATCCTGAGGAGAAAAGAAGGCCTTTCAGCTCGTTCGGACCGGTCAGGCTGAGAGAGAGAGAGGACGCCCTCCCACGAAGGATTCAGTTGCTGGCGTCCCGAAATAGAGTTTGTGATATGGGTGAGCAGACGCCGATAAGTGAACCGTGCTGCTGTAAGCGCTGCCTTCTCTGCTCCCCATCATGTTGTCACTTGTCCCTTTGCCTATACCACTGTTCAGTCCCCGCTGAGAATTGCGAGTATTCACTCGGACACGTTCTTGGCCGGCAACGATTGAGTCAGGTAGTCCAGCTGACAGTACGAAGCCCGGTGCTTCTTGTGCAGTCTGTACCTATGGAATTAACCGGCGGACCTGCAGCAGCAGGAAGCTTGACGGTCCCCAGAGAGTCTGCCCTTGACCGGAAGAAAAAAATACTCGCTTCGGCCCTAGCTCCATATGCTTATCGACTGTGAGACTGCATTATCTACATCTACCTGCGTCCAGCCGAGCGTATGTGGACACGATGACCCCGAAGACAGTCACGCCCATGTCGCCAATATAGCTTGAGAGAGAAAGCAGTAGAGTTGACCCCGAGTTCTACCTGAGCCTTTGACTGAGCAGGCAGAGAGGTACGATGATCACTGATAAATGTCAATTCTCGCCCAAGCAATGGCGAAGCTGGAAGCGGAGTTCAAGTGGTCGTACCACCCCGAGTAAAGCGGTGTATGAGGACATGATCCGACATACTTGGTAAGTGCTGCCAAAGAAGTGTTGGATACAGAGCACGTGTATTAGATTCTGCTGAATTGGGCCGCCTGCCAGGGCGTCGAGCTGGTTGATGCAGCAAACCTACATAATGACAGCATTCTCCAACAAACTACCGAGAACCATTCTTCACGGCAACTGGTCGATCGATCGCTGAGAGAACGGCCATCATCACTCTGTCAAGTCGCACGCACGATAGGCCAGGGAAAAACTCCCTTGCTGGCCGAGGGCTTTCGACTCCGCATGAGAAACTCTAAGCACTACCAACACCACCCAAGAAAGTCCGAAAGGTATATAACTTCAACACCTGCAGGCGGAAAGCAGAATGCCCAAGGTGGAATTTCCCGCGCAATGACGCTCCTCACCCTCACCCTCCTCTTCTTCCACAGCGTCGGTTTCGTCGCAGGTCAAATCTACGATGTCTCGAATTCCATCACTGCGGCCACTGGAATCTTGGACACCAGCCCCAATTCTTCCTTCCTAGGCAACTACTACAACTTCTGGAACGTCGACGCCGCCTCCTCCACCTGGGACCTGACCCGATCAGCTCGCATGGCAGTCACCTCGCCCAAAACGATCCCTATGCTCGGCATGCGAAAGACAGCCATCATCGAGCCGAATCGGACCGCATACATTATCGTCGACATGCAAAACTTCTTCCTTCATCCCCAGCTTTCACCGAATGCCACACGAGGACGCTTAGCTGTCGGACCGACATTGGATATGATCCACGCGTTTCGGAAGAATGCTATGAAGATCTTGTGGGTCAATTGGGGGATTGATGCGTATGATTTATTGACTATGCCTCCGGCGTTTCTCGATACGTTTGCTACGGACCATACGGCTGCGACTAGCTTTTGCTCGGATATGGGCGTGCTTCAAGATGGTGGAATGGAGATTGCAATGGGTGGCAAATTGTGTCGTGGATCGTGGAATGCGAGACCGTATGGTCCACTGTATAAGGAAATGGTCAAAGGGATTGAACATGGTACAGATGTATTGCTTCACAAAAGTGAGTTGCATTTTCTTTTTATTTGTTCTCAAATTACACAAAAAGATTGCCTGTGCGATACTGAGCCTTCTTTAAAAAGACCGCTTCTCCGGTCTCTGGGGCGCCCAAACCCCCCTTGGTCTCTACCTCCAAGAAACAGGCATCACAACCCTCTTCATCAGCGGCGTCAACAGCGACCAATGCGTCTGGTCCACTCTCATAGACGCCTTCTTCAAAGGCTTCGACATCGTCTACGTCGAAGACTGCACTGCAACAACCAGTCCCTGGTACGCAGAGGAGATGGCGCGATACAATGCGGATTTCAATGGGTTTCTGGCGAATAGTACAGTGGTTATTGATGCGTTGGAGAAGCAGCAGCAGAAGCAGCCGAAACCAGTCTTGCCGGGTAATGGGACGAATTTGACGTATCATGTTCCTCCTCTGCATAAGAAACGGAAGGGATTGTTTGATCCTCGTTGATGAGAGTGATGAGGAGGAGCTCTGGTGGGAGCTCGATGTATATACGCATGACAATAATGATAATGAGATATGATGGACCGATGGTGCTTACCTAGGTATAGGTACCTTGGGTACCTATATATGAGTGTGTATCACAAATGTGGACATCCGGTTTCGTTCTCAAGCTGCAGGCCACTGAAAGGGCGCTACAGCAATGATTGATTGATCCCTTGTTTGACGCCCGCATTCTATTATGTGCCACGTGGACTGACTGTTCATGGGCAGTATAGACTTTTGGCAAAAACATTGAGCTTGTGAGAGCCCCGCGCCCCCACCAAAAACGGAATTCGAAAAGAAAAAGAAAAATGCAAAATAACAAGCTGAGCTGAATGAACAACCTACATCAACGGACTGGACCATCGCCAGAGAGTTACTTTCGTCGAGGTTTGAACTCGAGACCTTCAGTGTGTTAGACTGACGTGATAACCAACTACACCACGAAAGCGGCTTGCTTGACGGTTTTTCCAGGGGTATGTTGTTTATCAAAGCTCGGACGGGTAGCTCCGAGTGCATGGAAATCGATGCAACAGTCCGTCACTTCTCGTGAAGAAGGCCAACGTTACATCTCACGCTACCTCCTACCAACATGATGTGCCTTACTATACAACATCCTACTACAGATTGTTGCCTGATATACAGATCTCCTAGTGTTCCCAGAAAACACGTCTCCGCACATTCGCAAGAGGTACATTGACTTCATTGCGCAAACGGGCCAGAGTTTTCACGAACCACCCAAGTTACACACGCAGTAGCTACTTCTTTCTCCCTGCCAACCCCATCCACGACTTTTCTTTCGCGTCCCTCGGACTTCTACTTTCCTTTCTACAGGTACTTTGGCCTCTCCTCTAGGACCTCAGTTCTGCTTTTCCTTGCCGCGAGAAGTATGGGGATATCTTGGTCTTCACCTTCATCCTGCTGGGCAAAAAGGTTACTGTGTGCCTAGGTAGGCACCAAGCTAGGCTCTGCTCCCAAGGGACCCTTTTCTCCATCTGCCCTCCCCATTTCGTTATGTGTGAAAGTATTTGCTGGCAAAAAGGCGGTATAAACGGGTTGGGAAGCAAAAACTGGATTTCCCGGGTAGGTGCCTAGGTACGCTTCTGACACATGCAGTAGGTATGCGTTTGTCTCTCTGAGGTGCTTTGGCAGTTTCCGTGGCCGTCATATCCACCACAGTGACAGCAGACATCGAGCATCCGGCGGCGGCTTGCATGCAACAAGAAGTCGTTTGCATGCAACAAGGAGTCGTTTGCATGCAACAAGGAGTCGTTTGCAGAGGATACCCGCAACCCTGGGCTACCTCAACACATGTGTTTGTTGCGCCATCTCTTTATCCATTGCTTCTCGGATGTTTCGCTATATTTCAGGGCCTTCCCACCGCAAGAGTGTTCTGTCACATCATCTTCCGCGCCCTGCACCATGTCTGACGACGACGACAATGCTGCCCTATCTGCGCTGCAGTCTGCCCAGTCAATCAAACGATTGCGACAGATATCCTCCCTACGTGCTGGGGGTATCAGCGACAAAGTCAACCTGCCCCAACTGATAGTAGCTGGCGACCAATCAGCCGGCAAGAGTTCTGTCTTGGAGGGCATCACGGGCATTCCGTTTCCACGGGAGGGTACGCACTCCATCAGGCACAATGGAAGAGAGTCTGCTGATCTTGTGACTTGTCTACCGCAGAGGGTGTTTGCACCAAGTTCCCTACCGAGGTCATTCTCGAGCACACGGAAGGTCCAACAACGGTCTCCGCCTCGATCATACCACACTCGCTGCGGCAAGGCGAGGAGCGGGCTGGACTTCAAGCCTACTCATCCAGTATTGCTACCCTCGAGAAGTTACCAACCATCATCGCCGAGGCAGGTGCCCTGATGGGCCTTCGTGGCTATGGCAATAACGATCAAGGACCGTCATTCGTCGAGGACGTACTCCAGATCAAAGTCACAGGTCCGTCTGGTCTACACCTGAGCATCGTTGACCTGCCGGGTCTTATCTCGACTCCCAGCGAAGAACAGACCGAAGAAGACATGAACACTGTCCACAGGATAGTCGACTCGTATCTCGAGAATCCGCGCACCATCGTCCTGGCGGTGGTTCAAGCCAGCAACGACATTGCCAACCAAGGCATTATCCGCAAGTCCAAGAAGTTCGACCGAGCTGGGCAGCGCACTGTGGGCATCATCACCAAGCCTGACTTGATCAATGTTGGTGCCGAAGGAAGAATTGCCGCACTGGCAAAGAACCAGGACTCCACGAGGCTAGAGCTTGGCTTCTTTCTGCTCAAGAATCCTACTCCGAGAGAACGAGAAGACATCGTCACGCAGAAGCAACGCTCCGGGAATGAGCTGCGCTACTTCCAGTGTTCCCCATGGAAAGAACAAAGCCTGGACCCGTTGCGAGTGGGCATCGACAACCTCAAAACTTTCATTCAAGACTTGCTCGACCAACACATCGAGAGAGAACTTCCGAAGGTCCGTGACGATATCAAGTCCGTTATCAGGACCACCGAAGAAGAAATCATTGCCTTGCCGCCAGAGCGGTCAACTACTGGCCACATTCGACAGTACCTATCTGATATTGCCATGCAGTACCACAGTGTTGCGATGGCAGCTCTGAATGGTGAATATCACACTGGCTATGCTTCATTCTTTGCTACTGATGACACGACGATCGGATCGACCAGACTCCGAGCGCTTATTCACATCATGAACACTGATTTCTCTCAGATTATGAGAGATAGGGGCCAGATGTTGAGGGCAGAAAAGCAAGAATACGTAGAGCCAGCCATCAAGAGTACCAGCTCGGTCCATGGCCCCAAGAAGAGTAAGAAGAACAAGAATTTCTCGGCACTTCCAGAGCCATATGCCGACGTATTACCTGTGAACGATGGACAAATTCCACCGCAGATTGCAAATCACGAACAAGAGAGTGCCATAGAGCAAGACTGCGTGACAGAGAGTGAGATGAGAAATTGGGTGAAGAGGGCATGTCACAGTCTAGACGGATATTTTGTCCCTTTCTAACGCTCACAGTACAGATCTATCAGACTACTCGCGGCCGCGAGCTTCCGGGGAACTGCAACCACACGCTACTGACCGAGCTTTTTCACGGGCAATCCAAGCCATGGCAGAGGATCGCGACCGAGCACGTCGCGAACGTCCACAACAGTACTGTTCGATTCGTGAACCACGTTCTGGCCTACCTGAAGATTGAAGCGCATGTGCTCGTAGGAATTAAAGAAGGCATCGAAGTCGCATTACAAGAAAGCAAGACCAAGGCCGAAGAAGAACTGTCGAAGCTGTGGGCCGATGAACAAGAGCATCCGATCACCTACAATCACTACTACACTGACAACGTCCAGAAATCGCGTCTAGACGGCACACAAAAAATGCTCGAGCGCGCCTTGGAGACTGCGAAGGTCATTAAAGAGGATTTCCTCGGAACCAAATCGATTAGCAACATCAGTGTCGAAACGCTCATCGCTGCCGTCCGCAGCAATGTGGTCGTCGATATGGATGAACAAGCTTGTTCAGAGGCTCTGGACGAGTTGAAGGCATACTACAAGGTCGCTCTCAAGACCTTCGTAGACAACGTCTGCAGGCAGGTCGTAGAGCGCCACCTCCTACGTAACCTACCCAGCATATTCTCTCCGCGAGTGGTCGCAATGTACACGGATGAGGAACTCGAGCAGATTGCGGGTGAGAAACCGGAGATAGTGAGAAAGAGAAAGCAGCTTCGGGAACAACTTGGAAACCTCAGAGTTTGGCTAGAGGTATTGCGGAAGTAGTTGAAGGTACTTGAAGGGAGAGGTACCCGCAGCCTTGATAGGTAAAATGATACCTTCAGGTACTACATGTGTCACGATAGTCGATCTACATGCAGCGTAAACGATGCTTTCCAACCTCTCTTCTCGATGTATATCAATATCTGCTTTCGAGAAACTCTTCAGACGTCAATAATACCTACCTTGCGTGCCTCAAAAAGTATCCTTTGGCGCGAAAGTCTCCTGTCGGCTGTATAGAGAGTCTTATAGCGGGGTCATTTACGAACCCCTCACGTGTCCGACCCGGCTACTCCTAGGGATGGCTATTATAGATGACTCCGGTATGTACATACCTTATTGTTCGAAAACGATCACATATATCTCTATACTACCTTCCATTATCACTCTACTCGACCAGCACGCTCGAAGGGGAACTCGCTAACTGGATGACATTTCTTGATGTCCAAAAAGAAAACAACAACAACAACAACATAATGGCTCCTACTACCAAGACCGCATACGTAACAGGTCAGTACTGTACCTTACTGTACACATGGGGAGCATCGATGGATACATGTATATCTCGAGAGGGTTTCTTCGAATCTATTGTGGAAAAAGAAAATAAAAAAAAAAAAAAAAAAGAAACAACAGAAAGCATCACAACCAGTTAACTACAGACTATTTGACTGTTGGATGACTGACTGACTTGACTTTCAACTTACTTACAACAAAAGGCGGAGCAAGTGGAATCGGACGAGCAGTCGCCGAGATGTTGGCGAGAAGAGGGTATGAAACTACCTACCCACTTTCCTGTAACCAAGACCTTCTCCAGCCTGATTGAATGAACAATTATTGTTACGAATGAAGCTTACCTACTCACACTTCGTTTAGGATTCGAGTCGCAATCGCAGATTCCAACCTCGCACAAGCAGAAGTCGTAGCGAGAAGCTTGACCCAAGACGCACTGGCAGTAGGCGTGGATGCAGCGAAATGGGAATCGCAAGTGGAAGCTTTCGAGAGAGTGTTGCGGGACTTGAAACGCGTGGATTATGTTTATGCTAGTAAGTATCTAGTACATATATATCGCTGGGACTCTTGTGAAGCATCAACCCCCCGTACCTAGGTAACGAAGCTGACTGACACGATACTTGGTGAGTAGTCGCTGGAATAGGCGAGAAGAGCTGGATTCCCAATGATCCGACTCAGGTTGGTTTCGTCAAACCGAATCTTGCGGTGTTGGATGTCGATCTCACGGGAGTGCTGTATACCGCTGCTTTGGCGATTCAGCAGATGAGACGCCAGGAGCCAGATGAGGATGGTTGGAGAGGAAAAAGTACGTCTAGACACACACACACCTGTGCCACCCGACATCTATACAAAAGCTGACTTGATGTTGTGATAAGTTGCGGTTACGGCTTCCGTTTGCGGATTCTATTGCGTGCCCACACTTCCCATCTATACAGCTGCCAAGCATGGAGTCGTGGGTTTCGTGCGCAGCTATGGCAAACATCTTCCGCGAGAGCAAATCACGCTGAACGCGATATGTCCTGATGTGGTCAGGACGGGGATTTCAAAGGAAGATTTCTACTCCGTCATGGAGGCGAAAGGTTTGCTTGTTCCGATGGAGCTCGTGGTACAGGCGTTTGAGCAGTGCTTGGACAGCAGCATCTCGGGCGAGACTCTAGAGATTGAGCCCAAGACCGGCATCGTGTCTAGATCTGGTCCGGAGCCTCTAGACAAGGAGACCGAAGAGTCAATGGACATGCTGCATGCAAGAGGCGCCCCTCTGCATGCGATAGGGACCAAGCTAGCCTCGTAGCAGTATTGATCAACGTGTATGATGTCTGGTGTCTGCAGCATCCGAGACGTGGCTTGCGTGGGCGAGCAGGAATTTGCAGCACGTCAGTGTGTACTTGCAAGCTTTGGTCCACTGCTCTTCTTGGCCGAAGTTGCCCAGCTTGATACTGACGTCCCCAATCTTGTCCTTGACGATGGGATATGGCATCTTCAGACCGGGCGAGGTGCGCTCCACATGCTGACCAACTTGTCGGAGGCATTCCAGAAACGCTACCATCGCATTATCAAAGTTCCGGTGCAAGAAACCTAGACCCAATGGCAGGTCACCACTGCTGAACAGCTCGAAGACTGTCTTTTTCGGCTTGCCTTCTGATGTTGAGGCGGACTGTGAATACTCTAGTTTGATGACCTTGGATGTGGAGCCGACAGGGACTAATTCGAACCCTTCGAGCTTGTGTCCCAGCTTGCCGATGACAACTGTAAGCAGCAAGAGCGTCTGACCCCAAGCAGCATTGATCTCGGGCCAATCAACCGACTGTTCGGGAGTCCTCCCAAGACGCAGGCCATTGATGGTGCCAAAGGTGCCGTCATGCCCAATACAGAAAGTATCATTGTACACGTTAGTACGTTGCAGTGCTTCCAGCACCTTTGTATCATGAGCCAGCTGGGTGTGAAGACTGTCCCGCTCTTCTCGAAAAGGGGTAAGTTCAACAGTGAATGCGTTGCGCTCGCGCCAGAACTGTTCCTCCTCCTCGTCGAGAGCCTCGGCTTCGGCATCGAGAGCAGCCATCTCATCTTCCATGCGAGCCTTCTCTGCCTCGAGCGCCTCAAGTTCTTCCAGAGCTTTCTTCTCGCGTCGTTGGGCATCTTCGAGGGCACGCTGAGTCTCTGCTTTCTCTTCTTCAGTCGGTATATCTTGCTGAGCTCGCTTCAAGAACTCGACATAGGCGTCTCGTTCACGTGTCACGCCCGTCTGTCGCTTCTGCAGGCCTTCCAGAAGGAGCTCGGTGCATTCGGAGCATACCGGGTGGTCTATATCGGATCGAGCAGCCAGTATCTCAAAGAGTCTGCGCGTCGTCTCCAGCTCCTCGGACATCGCGGGCTGCCCGTCGTCTACACTGCCGTTTGTGGCTTTCTTCGCACTCGACTTGTTCCGTGCTGAGGCTCCGAGCTTTGGTGCAACTTGCGAGCCGGGAAGCATGATATATGACATGTCTTGCTTGTGTCGGCCTGCACGAACATCGCGCTTGTATATCGGAGTCGCTGCTTGTTGGGAAACAGTGTCGTACAGCTGCCTTCTCTCCTTGGCTGCTGCTGAACGCGGTGCTTCGGGCGCCTTCGGCGCGAGCACTGGAGCAGCATCGGCCAGGATCTTGAATGATGCCGGATTGAGAGTCTCGAGAGAGGCGTCGATGCGCAGAGGCGTCTTGCATTTCTGGCACTGCAAGGCGGCCATGGCGGTGGCGTGGTCTATACCGGGCTGTGCTTTCAATTTCCCATCACTCCGCTACCATCGTCGAGTAGACATGAACCATTTGAGGAGTAGAGGCACAAGTCAGTTCGTCAGTTTGTCAGTCAGTCATGCAAGCCAGTCCGGTTTGGCATCTGAAGTGAAGTACCTCGAGAAGGACTGTGGTGTGTGCGTGTGACGTGACGCGACGCGATACCATCATATCACGGGTATCTCACTGCATGATAATGTAACTATTGTAAAGCCCCTAAGTCATTATTGATCTTACTGAAAGCGGTAGGCTCAACCATGATATAGGTGGGTCTCGGTATCAAGGAGTAATATGACTAAGCGAAGCCTCCTGTAGCCAAGACTTCTAGAGTAGGTTCCTCCCAAGTTCTTCCCCCCTCCTCAACGCCATCAACCATCATCTCTTCCGTGTCCAGGCAAATAACAATCACTTCACCAATGAACACTGCTCGCCGACCCTCCAAAATAACACCTCGGGACCGTCGGAAACGCCATCAGCTTCGATGGATGGGCCCAGGAAGCACACTACGACTTTCAATCTTGATATCGAATGCCATCACCAAGCCCACACAGCTTCCCATGCCAATTTCCCAGAGCATCTCATCTCCTCCTGAGCTTCTATTGATCTGGTGTTGAAGAACAGTCCAATCGTGTCGGGCAGGTGTTGGTATGTACATTAATGACAAGCACATTTTCCCGTCTGTTCGTTGCATTTCGGCTTGTAGGGAGGTGCACAGTTCTCGGCGAAATCGGCACATCCCGATTTACAAGTTTGGCTTGGCTGTCCATCACACATTAGAGAAGTCGATAACGTCCAAGTCTGCCAGAGTACTTACAATGCAGTTGCACACTTTCTCAGTCGCTGCCTTGTAGGAGACTTTGCGGTATCCCGATGGGCAAGTGACTCCTGCACATGTGTCCCTCCTTGTGAGATGGTTCATGCTCCTGAATGCCTCGGGCATGACCGTAACCTCTCGCCGGTATGGGAAGCCATCGAGCTGTTCGCACTGTACGAGTGCAAGTAGGCTGGCTACGAGCAAGAAGATCGAGAGCAGACGGTTGAACATGGTGATGGCGATGATGATGGTAGTAGCAATGCTGATGGTGATACTGCTAGTGCCGCCAATGATGACAATTTCAGAACGTCGTCGTAGCGAGATGTCGGTATGTATATATAGGCAAGCTGCATTGATCAACAGATACAAGTAACAATTTGTTATCCTTGCTACATGCAGTCAGGCCTCATGAGTAAAACGTTTCGACACCACGTACATCAACGACTAGTTCTGCAGTCCCTGCTACTTCATAAAATCATCTTCGCTGACGCCTCCAACATAAACAAGGCTCGAGAATTGTGCTCACTCTGTAGGAAAGTGGCGCAGGAGATGAAGCAGCCAATCGCAACGACGAACGCAGGTCCTCACCTCAGGAGTAATCCGTCGTGTATGAGGTAGTGGTACCATGAACGTTGTTGCGGCCTAAGTTATTCCATGCGCCAGAAGAAACAACCACTTTCCTAAGTTTAACCCAGCTAGGATCACAACCCTTCTCTATCAAATTCAAGAATAGAGTTCAACGTATATACCCTCACCCACCGGGAGTCGGTCAGAAAATAGTCCAAGGGCGACAGGGTCGGTTGGATCGGGAGTTATTGAGTGCACATATATGCAAACCAGACGGTACGGTCGGCGGCCCTGCATCTTGAGCAAATTCTTGGAACTTTGTGAGTATAGTAGCTTGATCTGGTAAAGTCCCAATGCCACGTTTGATGAATTGGGGTTGTTGGTTTCATCCTTCTCCTCGTCCGGATACTCGGCACCTTGCAAGTTGCTCACGAGGAGTATGTAAGTCTCATAGCCGGAAATTGTCATATCTTCTGCCGACGGCGACGACAGTCGGAAAGGACTCCGACGACAGTCATGCCCCTTTCTTTTTCGAACCTGCAAGCAAATTATAAAGGGAGCACCGAGTATGTAAAGACATCTTACCATGCGAAACGTGGACGAAAGAAGAAATTTGCTATTGCTATTGTAACAGACACGCGACTATTGTAGATCAGGCACTTCTGCTGCCAGCGTAGGACTGTCCTATGAGTTGCGGACATCCGGTCGAGGCTGGGTGTTGAGATTGTTTCTTGTTCTTGAAGCCGGTCTTTGAGCACAACCCGAGCTTGCGAGCAAAATAACAACCGGACATATCTTCCGGGCCAGGAGGGAAGTAGGTTAGCGCTGACAGCCTGCTAGCGCTGAGCGCTATACGCAACGCGCCGCTAGTCTAATGAATTTAATTGGTGGCATGTCATAGAGTTCCAGCTAGGGCAACCACTTCAGGTCGCTCTGACTATCTGACAGGTTCAGTAGCGTCTGTGTTGCAATTTCTTACGGCTGTGGAGGCCTAATGAATAGAAGCAACAACGAGTCTAGAGAGCGAGAGAGGCGTACCTCGATGAAATTCCAATCACACTGACATCCATCCCGGTGAAGGGCATAGGGACAACGGCATATCCGGAAACCCAGCCTATCATGAGCACCATCAGTTTGGATGAGCAGGACAACAATATTCATATCCCCGGACGATGAGCCTGTGTGAGCAAGGAGCCAAGGGCTTATTGCACGGACTATTAATATCACATTAGTAACAGCGCACCATGACTTCGGACTGAGCATCTCTCATGTCCAAGATCTCGGATTTGCCTTGTGATCCGGACCGGAAAACATCAAAGAGTCGTCAGCTGCAGATTTTACATCGTAGAATTCGAGGGCGAAGAACACTACGATGATATCCTTCTCGCAATATCCATGCACCATGTTCTCATCGATGCTGGCGTCCATCTGTTAGAATTGTTGCTCCCACGACCGGCCGAACGCAATTTCAACCTCAGACGCAGTGTATCCAGTTGGTGCACGCGGCGGCCTCTAGTATAGCGGCGACCCAGTCGTTTTCCTTGCGCCTACTTATGATCCTTTCGAAAGGCCCCAGATACCTTGTGGATGATATCGTAGACTACGGGTATGTTCATGCGACCTTGTCGGCTTCGGCATGATTGGTAGGCTTGCGTTTTTGATTGCTTCGAAGGCCGTGTGCTCGTCTGCCGGAGCCGAATGGTAGTGTCCATCAGCACTTCTCGTGCAGTCCTGGTCTTCTGGAGAGTGAGGATCGCAAAATCATGTGTAGGCAGTTCAATTATCTCTCATTGGAAGTGGAAGGCGACATTGGAGGTACCTGAGGTACATATCCCCCTAAGTGTATTAGGTAAGCGTGTTCGCAGCGGGACGGAATGGGACGGGACGGCATCCTGCAGCGTCGGCGCGCATCGTCACAAGCTGCGACGCGTTCTCCGGCCCCGACGCGAGCCTCAAAATCCAATCTGCCCCCATCCAACAATAACATCAACAACATCAACACCAAGCCTCCCGGCAATGACACAATAAAGATGCCTCCACTCGTCCGTCGCCGGCCGCTCATCGAGCGCCTCAAAGCCTGGCTCGACCCACTGGACCTGCTGCTGTGGCTGGCGGAGGAGCTGAATGATGATGCATATGAGCACTGGCTGCAGCTGTGGTCGACTCCCATCGGCCTGGCACTGAACATCGTCTTCATTCTGGCCACGGGCGCGAGCAGAAGAGCAAGAGGCAGGGGCAGTGATGATGTGTTTGGCGACGAGTACAGGAGTGGGACGGGATGGTTTGCCTGGCTGGTGCGTAGCACTCTCCCGGCCGGACGAGTCATGTATATCAAATAGACACGCTGACAAGGTGAGTCTGCAGGCTTCTTTCCTTGTCTATGTTCTGGTGCTTCTCAGCATCTCGAACGCTCTATTCACATTCTGGAGACGACGATCGTATCGCCTCTTCGAGCAGTCAGTCGACGTCCCACCACCAACCCCATCAGCCCATCGAGTAAAGGTGGACAGCTCGCCCATGTCTTCTTCACCACTGCGATACATGCAGGCGGTATTGACTTCAGCCACGGCCTCCTCCAGAGCCTACCCTGATCCCGAACGCGAGGTCTGGGAGCTCAACCTGTGGGATCCCAAGCCATTCAACCTCAACATATTCACCCTGTTCTCTCCTGGACACATCGTCATCTACAGTCTCCTCCTACCGCCCACAGCTTCGGACCCACGGCCTTCTGTCACAGTTTTTACGGCAATGGCGTTCAGTGCACTGCTCTCGGCACAGTTGTGGATGCTCAAGGCATCTTTCAGCCAGCAAGCAAAGGACTCTGCGCTCATTCATGGTGAGGTCATGAACGAATACGACACCAAATATGTGCATCCAAACCTCATACGTCCGATGCGAGATGTTGGTATACAGACTCGCGTAGCTGGCAACACCTCTCGAACTAATCACACACGCGAAATCGATGTCTATACACCCACCACCATCATCAAGCGTGGCTTCAGGACACATCCGAATCCGAATTATGCTCGAGAGTACGACCCATATGGTCTAGCTTCACGCCCGGAGGATTCGAAACGTAACCCCGGGTTTCCGGATACACCCACCAACGGCTACGTCAACAGAACCACGCAGTCATACTCGCGACCGAGCACAGCATTGACTGACTTCTCGTCCCCTCTCAAGCCGCATCACGAGCGACTGCGCGAGCGGAGTCCGATCAAAGGTGACGGAGGAAGCATGGGGGTGTATAGCCATGCCGCAAGTCCCCTCAGGAAGGCTGCTAGCAGCAACCATTTGAAACCATTGGCAGGCGACCTCAGAAGGACAACACTTGGGAGCCCCCTGAATCGTAGGAGCGCCTCTGGTCCTGGCGGTGCAGACCCGCTCGATCTTGCTCGACGTAGAGACACTGGCAGATTCTGAGTACTTCTGATAAAGCAAGCTAGCCTTCGAGAGCGCGTATACCACTTTAGCTGTTCTGACGGGGCCGTAAGTCGCGAGATTGGGCACATTGGTCTTATTCCAGAGCTTAGCTTGAGCCACGAGACGTGCTCTTCAGCAAGATTGTAATCCAAGCATTGCGGATCTTGCCCCGTTCTCGATACAGAGACTGGTCGATCTCATGATTGAAAGGTCAATCATGAGTGCGCGCCACGGAATCGAGGTGAGTACATCTCTCGAGAATATCTGTTAGAGTGGACATTCCGGCCATGCGGGCCGACAAGGGATGAAAGTCATAGATGAGTAAGCAGCACAAACGTCATCGTCATGTACCTGGTATACAGTACATGTACATTATTCTCTCCCTCATCCAACAACAATCATCCTGTCCTCACTTACAGTGAGACAAACCAAAATGGCACTTCGAACGCTCGGCGCGAAGGCTGCTGCCGCACTGGACGAAGAGCTCATGTCGAGCGGTGCCTTCACCATTGATCAACTAATGGAGCTCGCTGGTCTCAGCGTATCTCAAGCACTCTACCAATTATCGCCACCTTCCAAATCCCCCAACGTCCTCATCGCGTGCGGGCCGGGAAACAACGGCGGAGACGGCCTCGTAGCAGCTCGACATCTGCATCACTTTGGCTACAAGCCAACCCTCTACTATCCCAAACAAGGCAAAGCAGAAATCTACGCACGCCTACGAAAGCAGCTAGAGCAGCTCCAAGTGAAATTCACAGAAGATTTTCCATCTGCTTTGTCTCAATCAGATTATGTCATTGATGCGATTTTTGGCTTTAGTTTCAGTGGGGAGGTGCGAGAGCCGTTTCCGGGGGTTATTAAAGTCCTTGCTGAATCGAGGATTCCTGTGCTCGCGGTGGATGCACCTTCTAGCTGGAATATTGAAGATGGTCCACCAAGTGATGGACCGGGGAAGGGATATCAACCTCATGCTCTCATTTCACTTACTGCGCCGAAGCCGCTCAGCAAGTGGTTCAAAGGAAGACATTTTGTGGGAGGCAGGTTCGTTGGCAGAGAGATTGCTGAGAAGTATGGCTTTGATATTCCTCCCTACAAGGGGAGCGATCAAGTTGTGGAGGTCGCTGCAAGTGGCGAGAAGCTGTAACAGGCTGACTTTGAAATCAAACTTCATGAACAAACTCTGGACTCTGCAATCCAGTACTTTCTAGTCCTGCCAAGCTCAGTCAACCTCTCTCTCTCTCTCTCTCTCTCTCTCTCTCTCTCTCTCTCTCTCTCTCTCTCTCTCTCCCTCTCCCTCTCTCTCAACCCTCTTCCCCATCACTCATTCATAAATATAACAAAACTTCCCTCTCATGGTACTCAAAGCCTCCCCAATCGTCATGCCCTCAAACCCATCAATCACACCCAAATCAAACCGATCCTCCAGCCTCGCATCACGACTCGGCGGAGAATTCAAAAACGTCACCGTCCCATCCACCTCCTCCCAGCGGCGCGGGAGATTCCCATTCTGCCAAATCCACCACACACGATCGATTTGCGCATGATGCAACCAAAACCACGGTTCGCCAGGACTCGTGTAAAAATCGCCTCCGGGGTCTCCTCCGACGATGTAATGCCCCGCAGTGTGGACGCCATATTCGGGGTTGGTGGGGGAGAAAAAGGCGGATTGCATGGTATCTTGGAAAGTGCCGACGGTGGGGGAGAGGGTGATGAGGGAGGTGATGTTGGCGTCGTTGGCGCCGAGGGCGGATTGGATGGAGAGGTCGCGGCGGATGCAGCGGGGGTTGTAGCCGAGACCGTCTGGACGGGGGTTGGGAGGGATGGAGGAGGAAGAAGAAAGATTATAGCCTGATAAGCCGATGATGGTGGGGCCGAGGTTGGTGGTCATGTTTGCAAATGGTCCGGATGTGATGCAGCCGCCTCCTTCCTGAGGATCGAGAGAGATGTGATGTGTTGCGTTTGGGTCGGGTGGCAAAAGGGAGGGAATGCGATTCGGGTCATAGGCTCCGTTTCCACCGAGGGAGATTTCGCTGCCGTCGAAAATTGGAGCGTCGATGACCGAGTTGCTGAGCCGAGCCCAGTTGATGTAGGGTTGGTAGCCTTTATAGCCACACTCTTCGCGGAGAGCGGTCTCGTACGCGTAGATGTAGTAGCGATGCCAGGCGAGGAAGTTGCCCTGCAGAGTAAATATGCGTCATTAGTTTTTTTATTTGAGGCGTTCTGCTTGTAAAGTGAGGTATCTCACAGTAGCATGTACAGTCAACGTGAGGTTAATGTGAGTAGCTTGAAAGTCATCATATCGGCTTCTGGCTCCAGGTGCGAGATCGCCACTGATGGATGGGGTCGACTGCAAACACTGTACAGCTTTGATGTATGCTCGCTTCTCGCGAGGCTTCAACGAATCCCACTCTTTGCGTCGGTAGGCGGTCTTGAGTGTGCACGTCGTAGCAGGTTGCGTGCGCAGATACGACTTCAAATTCCGCATCCCTTTGTGCGCGAGTGCGTCTGAGCCATTCGTGGGTCCAGGTATCCATCGAGACGGCTTGTACTTCGGTGAAGGTGTCGCAAGCACTTCCAATATGAATACGCAGCATGTCCAGATTGCAGTATACATTATGAGGGGGGTGATTCAGCAATCGAAAGATACAACGATGGCGCAAGAAAACACTCGAGCACGAAATCTATCGCCTATGTGATGAGGAGCGCACAGGTTGAGCCTCACCGTGAAGCCTAGTAGTAGGCTTTATATGGCGCCAGTACTGGACGAGGATGCCCACCGGAATTGTCGTTGGCAAGCCGTCCTGTGAGTGGAAGCACTGTAACCTACTGTTGAAAACAGCGCTTGCATCCTGCCTCCAATATGGGCTGCAGCTCGGGTACGTGTGGGCAGGCAAGAATAGCGAAAACCAGCCACAACAAGCATGCCAGAAACCAGATGTGGCAGAGTTACTACTACAAGCCAAGTCCGCGCTGACTTGGTGGTCTGTTATGCTCTGTGTCTGGTCGAGGGGAGGTGTCGTAGTTTATGCGGCGGTTTGGCGCGCAACCCGTGCGACCGGAAACAGGATCAAGCCCGGGCATGTGGTGGATTTACTGTGGCGTTCGATATTCAGCCGCTCAAATCTCTCTACACCACTTTCCCCATCCGCCTAAATCAGCCCCGCTGCCCCCAAGTTCTTCGAGTCCTACGTCAACTCTGCTGGTCTTTGCACCGGCACTCCTACCATCCTCCACGACCAAGCCGACATTGACCAGCTCTTCCCAAGCATTCCTGGCGACATTCTTGCTCCATACTCTACTGCTTGCGATTCCCCCACTCGCGCTTGCGTGAAGCTTGGCCTTGCTCGCGATTACTTTGTACTCTTCATAGACAAGAGCGAAAGTGACAAGCTCGGTATCGTAGATGTTGGTCAAGCGAGCTGCGCATATCAGCAGCGCAAGTTGAAGAGTGCTGAGAGCATGCAGCAGAATGAGCTTGGAGTCGGGAGCCTGCAGGATGCTCGTACTCGTCATATTAGCAGAAATGTGATCAAAGACGGATGTAATGGTTTGTGACGCTGTCGGCAGAGTTGCCAATGCCAGCGTAAGAGCAACGAGGAAATCAGGCATAGATTTCGTGGTGTAATAGAGTCTTTGCAGGAACTTTTTGCAGGTGTCGGAAGCCAGTAATTGGTCTGTGACAGAACTCCAGCTCGACAACGCAGGAGCGGTTAATTCTTTGCCTTTGGCGAGAATTTCCAGTTCCTTATTAGTGAACTCCTCGGGACGAAGTGCCACCGCGCTCCGGCATGTCTGCTCAAAAGCATTCAAGTTCTTTGACAAGCTCAGATGCACATATCGGTGACTGAACCTGGACTTCACCCGCTTTTCCAGGCTCTCAACAACATCGATTCTGGTTGTCAATCCCAGAACAGCAATGGGAGCTTTCCGGCTTTGAGCGATATCGAACAGGTTATACAACAGCGTCTGTCTCGGATGGCCTGCAAATAGCTCGAACTCGTCCAGAACGAAGATCACGCTTTTGGTGACCCGCTCAGTCTCGATCCCATGCTCGGTCGGATGCGACAACAGTGCAAGTAGCCTTGTCATCGTGTCCGCATAGTTCTTGCTTGTAGCTTCATCTTCGTCTAGTTCCATTTCCGTTCCAAGCTGTCTCCAGATCTCCCTTAGAGCGATCTTATCGTCTGTGTGGATAAAGCCACTGAGTCGCACAACGTGGAAGTGATCAGCATGAGTCTCGCTTTGTTTACGGAGAATTTGGTTGACCATGGCTGTCTTGCCACTTCCACGTGCACCAATGATTAGCATACTGTTGCTCTCGCCCGCAGTGATAGTCTGGGAGATGACAGTCGCCACTTTGGCGTATTCGTCGTCCAGATTGGTGAGCAAGATCGGCCGCTTTCCCGTAGCCTTCTCGAGCACGACATTCTGGATACATTGTAGGTGGTCATCGTCGAAGGAGTTCCTGTCTGTCGCAATGGCCTTCCGCATGGGCTTCACATCAGCATCGCGCCGAGGTTTCGATCCCGTAGTTCGAATGATCTTGGCCTCAGCATTTCGAGTTGGTTGGGTGATGGAAGCTTTCGTGGGGACGATCAGTCTCTTCGCAATCGCAGCCTTGGGCGTGACCTCTTTCTGCCTTGCCAACTGATTGAAATCCATGTCATCCTGCACCAACGTCTCATCTGGCCGATCAATAACCATGTGGTCCTCTTCGTCGCTCTCGGGAATCTCCAGAGACTGGTCTCGCGGACTGGTTCCCGTCCTTCGATCCTGAGGTCCTGTGTGTGTCCCAGCGACGACCGTCTTCGCTGCAGTAGCTCTTTGGCTCGCTCTTCTAGCAGAACCGCGCTTAGAACCGCTCTGCTCAGCCAACTCATCCGCACTGTCGTCATTTTGCGTCTGTTGTCGCGCCTTCTCCTCTATCTCGTGTATCTCGTCTTCGAAAGTCTTCTTCGGGGCTCCTGTTTCGGTGACACGGCCATTTCCCTGGCTGACAATCCGTGAAGCTCGCGTCTTCGTATGACTTTCGGGATTGTCACCATCTGCACTTCGTTCGACACTCCCATTCAGCGGTGGTTTCGGTGTCCTTCCTCTCGACAAAGCAGCAGGCCTGCGGGCCTGATGTGCGCCCTCAAAGTCATCGTATACACTCAGCTCCTCCTTTGGCGGGAGCTCCCTCGACTTTCTTGGTCTGGTGGCAGCCCGTTTGGCCGCAATTGCTTTCGCCGCTAACCATTCGGCCTTGGCATCTGAATTTGACTGGATCGTGGAGTGCACAGCCGGCGATGATTGCGACTTGCTGCCGTAGGTGGTGGGGGCATTGGAGGGTTTGGCAGAACGAGCAGGGGAGCTTTTCTGGGCGCTGTCGTCGACTTTCTGACGCTTCAATGGTCGGCCACTCATTGTGAGCTGAGCTGTGCGGATCGCGAGGGGTTCCTGTTATGTTGTGGTGGCCATCGCTACAGTGGCCTTCTCTCTGTGCAAGCTTCGAGAGTCCATCAATGTCGAGCTGTCGATGGGCGCGTGAAGAGACGAGGCAGAGCTAACGCGAACAAGACACGAGATCGGCTGACTAAGTGTATTCGCACCTGATCCTATATGATCTTATATATAGCGATTACATACTGAGTTAGGCATTGCTTTGGTACTACCTGACTATTCCCTAGAATAGATTAGAGAACTCTACGTAAGGTAGGTACTTCTTCTCAAACCTTAGTAGAACGAGCTTTATATAGCCTCTCTTCAACCAACTACTAACTGTACTACTAAGGTAGGTAGTTAAATAGATACCTAAGTCCTAAGGTATATAGAGTGCCCTGCCGCCTACACCTTAAGGAATCGTATACTATACACGACAATGTTACACAGGTAATGTACACGTGCGTAATTGCGTAATTGCACTATCTTACAGTCGAAATCGCCCGCTGTGTCATCACTGTATCGAGCTGGGGTATCGCCGGATTTCCTGGATGGTATTGCATCATGTGCCTCGTAAAGTTGTCGATACGACCGCCATCAAAGCGCTTTCCACATGCATTGCAGGTGACTGGTGGTAAGCGATTATGCGTGCGCATATGTCGTCTGAGATCCTTGGGGAAAAGAAAGGCCCTATCACACTCCGTGCAGCCATGTGTTCCTCGGACATGGTTCCTTAGGTGCCGTTGTAGATCACTGTCGGTAGGATATGTGTTGTGGCACTCAGGGCATTGCGATGGAAGTGATGGATCGCGAAGCTGCGCGCCTGTACGCCGTGGTCGTCGTGGGATTGAAGACGGCGCTGAAGGAGTTGTGCCCGCGGTTGCTATATCAGCATTCAGGCTAGCTGCGTTGGTTATTGTTTGTGAGTGACGATGGCCTCCCCATCCTGTAGCCTCAACCATGTTTAAGATGTTGCTGGGGTCTGTTTGCTGTTGAGGCAGCTGCTGAGTAATTTCCGTCGATCCACCCATGTACGTCGCGTGAAACGGGGGATCGGAGTTCAAATCGTCGAGCAAAAACATGTAGGCATCCAGCTGATTTCCGCCATATCGAGGGAGAGATGGATCGTGCACTTGTGAGCCTGCTACTGCAAGATATTCAGAGATCGCAGTGCCATCGCCGTGCTGGGTCGAACTTCTCGGTGTGGCCGGTACTTCGTGTGTCGCAAACGATGAAGAACGCAGTTGTTGTCCTTCTAAGTAAGCTGGGCGCTGTTGGCGCCCTGCAAATGTGTATTGGGGTGTCAGGCTCAGGCTTTCTGTAAGGAATTGCTCTCTTTCGCGCACGGGTTCATACATGCTCCAATGTGGCATTTGTGGCTGTGGAGGTAGCTGATCTCTTTGGCAATTTTGCGACATCCAGAGCTGAGAAGGCGTCATGACAACGGAGTACGTCGTGTCCAAGGGACGACAGCTACATCGATCTACTTGTACTGTCGGCGTGGGACATCCAAGCATGCGAAGAGCCACCTATTAACAGTGAGCATGAGCAAGCCATGGTCTTTCCGCCAAAGGTTACCACAGATGAGTCTCCATACTGCTGACCAGGGGCCGAGCCGATTTGATGGAGGACGTCGCTACCGTGGGAGGTCATGGTAATAAAGTTCAATGTCGACGATCATCAATCTATACAGGTAGTAGTGATTTCGGCCCCGAGTGAACGTCCAGTCAAGCGCAATGTTGAATGCACCTTCCGAATCGATAAAAGTGCCAAAACGCTAAGAAGGTAATGTAAGCGGCGCAGTCCAAGCAGTCTGCTCGAATGTATGCTGATGCGAAAAAGCGTAAATCGCAGATGGATGCCGCCCAACAACTTACATGTTGTCAGGTCTGACGAGATATGAATCTTGCTTCACATTACCAGGACAGCAAACCGAGCTCATCTAGTCAAGACGAAAGGCCGCCAACTGTCCAGGAGAGCAGCCAACATCTTGCCGGAGGTATGCGTTGTATGTCCTGGAGGGCACAACGACACAGGGCCGAAGTCGGTCTGATGGCCTGCCCTCTCCCCCTGGTATGAGGAGTATACCTAGAGAAGCAAGCCGCGCCCGACGGGAGTGACTGCGCCTGCGACCGGTGAAGGAGACGGCGAGCTGCGGAGGGAGCGCCCCGATCTCAGTAAGGTAGGCGTGAAGACGTCCATATCTTGGGTAGATAGTGTATAAGGTATGAGCAATCCGTCTGTAGGTATAGCTAGGTAGGTACTGTAGGTAGGTAGTCGGGCAGGGAAGCTCTCGTGGTATGTACCTCCTAAGCGATCAGGAAGAGCCTCGGAATCCTATAGGTAGACTAGCGGTAGCAGTGCGCTGGCTCGGGAGGGGCGCTACCCGCTGCACATAATTGCCTTGGCCTGGCTCGTGAACGGAGCCCGGTACGTAGAGCATGTTGATTGAGTAAATTTGAGATCCATAGTCTGTCAAATTGAGCGGCTATTAGAGTGTCTATATACCCGCGAGATTGAGGCCTGAGGCCTTAATCTCTACTATTACCTCGGCTGTCAAGGCTTTGATGCCTACGTACTGTATACTATGTCAATATCCCCCTGCCTTAGTATTTAGGTATTAATTCGTTTGTCTAATTAGCTCTCTCGAAAAGCCTATTAGTTGTTGTAGGTAATCCTTTTACTACTGCAATCGTCTTAGATAGCCGATTCGTATACTCTAAGCGCCTTCCTAAATTTAACAAATACTAGTTTTAGTAGCGGCTTAGTAAGCCCGTCTGCTACTATACGATTGGTTAGTATCTATTAAATGTCTAGCTCTTTACTTTCTATCTTCTCGTATTGCTATCGCTCTTAAATAGGTATATATTTAGTTCTTAAGTAATAGGCCTATAGGTTCTTTACGAGTACGATTGCCTCTACGTTATTACCGAATATTACTATCGCCTATACTTGCTTTTTACCTAGTTGCTCGAGTAACTGTCTTAACTATACTACCTCTTTATATACTTAGGTTTAGCCTATTAGCTTAGCTTTATATATAGATAGAGCTACTATAGATTATTGTTTCGAGCTCTATATAATAGCGCCGCTACCGAGGTTAAAGGTATAACCGGCTATAGATCGACGCGTATCGGTATTACCGGCCTAATCGGAATCCGTATAACCCTATAGTATAGTAAGTTCGCCGCTATAGGTAAGAACGTAGTAAAGCGTACTACGGAGGCAACGAAATACGTCGATTACGGCTATATAGTGCTTGGTCGTAGGGTTGCTAGAAAAGCGGCTTACGACTAAGACGGCAAACGCGATATTAGGCCTTGTACTAAGTATAGCGTATATAAGGGAGCTAACCGCGCTCTAGTACTACGTTCTAAATAAGTCTGCTGCCTAATAGCTAGTAGGCGCCGGTATAAGTTTTCAGCTCGGATCGATTAGTATAGCTTTAATCTTTACGTTGTCCTAGATACCGTACTTTTTTAGGAATTGCTCGATATAGTTACGTTAACTAAGGTAAATAGTTCGCGCGGCTCGGTTTCTCGTAATTGTTATACCGAGATAGTAATAGTATAGCCCTAGGTCGCTTATTTAGAATCGGTTACTAAGGTGTTTCTTTACGCTATTGATTTTAGTAATATATAGGCCTACGATTAGCAAGTCGTCTACGTAAACGGCTATAAACGTCTCTCCCTTAACGAATATACTTATATCGGCGTCTAGCGTAGTAAAGCTAGCTAGTTCGAGATAAGCCGTTAATATCGTATACTAAATCCTTAGTAATTGTTTTAGTCTATATAGTAATTTGAGTAGTAGGCAAACGTTATCGGTACCGTCGGTAAAGCCTTCCGGTTGTTCTATATAGATTAGATCGTTTACGTAATCGAGTTCGCTATAGAGAAAGGCCGTCTTAACGTCTATTTACTCGATTTCGTAGTCTTTAGCCGCGGCGATTGCAAACAGTACTTTGTAACTTATCGGCTTTACGACTAAGGCGTACGTTTCGAGGTATTTACTGTCCTATATAAAGCCCTTTACTACCTATTAGCATTTGTACTTAATCTTATTACCAACGCGCTTGATTTTGAAGACCTATCTGCCCTTAAGAATTCTGGTTTTGCCGTCTTTAGCTACCGATCGTTTAACGATTGTCTATACGCAGTTGTATTTTAGTAACTTGTGTTTATCGTCGAGAGCCGGCTCCTAGTTACTCTATTAGCCGCTATAGTAACGTACGTTGTCGTAGGAGGTAGGTTCGTATAGCTTAGTAGCTAGTAATACGCTTATAAGTATATAGAGCAGTATATAGAATTTAGTAAATATGTTAGCGTTACTCTAGTAGTACTAGTAATAATGTCGTTTCGGTTTGCGCTGCCGTTTGCCGTCTTATATAAGTTCGGATTAGGCCTCGTTATAGGTTAGGTTAGGTATAGGTTAGGTACAACCCAACTTAAATACCTAACCCTACAAATAAGCTAGGTACCTAGCTTATAAGCGGGGTACAACCTAACGGTAAAAACCTAGTAGGTATACCTAATAGGTATTGCAATAGGTATTACATAATACGAGTTGAATACCTACGAAATAGTAGAAAATAATATTAATAAGGTATATATATCTACTACCTAATTCCTAGAGCGCAGATTTTAATAGGAAAATATTTTATACTTACTACAGCTGCCGACTATATATACCGACTATATATACAGACTAAAAAGAGATTACTAGAAAGGAAAGCTCTAACTAATTGATTATAGTTATAAGCTACTATATACTAAGGACAGAAACTACCTTACTTCTTAGTAAGTAGCTAAGTATCTAGAGCAGATTGCTCCTTTACTTAAGCGTCTTAAATCTTTTAATAGGCGTAAAGCTAATCTTCGAAGTTCAGCTACTACTAACTATAATATTAACGTACAATTTTCTTCGTATCTCCCTCGAGAGTTTGCTAAGTAAGGCGTACGCTATCTTCTAAACGCTCTTTCGCAATAGTAAGCGCGTAAGCTACCGCTACTAACTTATTAGCGTAGGCTTCTAACCTCTGCTTAAGAGTTTGCTTATTATCGCTAGTATTATTATCTAGCTCTTCTTAATTATAACTAGCTTAAAAGTCTCGACCTTAGATATCTTAATCTTGCTTATCTTGCTCCTACTTATCTTTGTCCTACTTATCTTCGTCCTGCTTATCTTCGTCCTAATTATCTGCGTCCTGCTTATCTTCCTCTTACTTATTATCTAGGAGTAGCGGAGTATTATCCTAAGCTATTAAATTAGTATATTATAATTAATAATAAAAGAGGAGTAACTTACTAAGAGTTGCCTACTAAGCAGTAGTATCCTCGCTATTATTGTTGTCTATAGTCGGATTCTAAGTAGCGTCTAGTATATCCTCGTCGGAATCGTAATTAACAATTCGTCGAGGCTTCTTAGTTAGGAGAGGCTTGCATTTTAGCGTAGCCTTCGGTTTTAGTACCTTAGGAGCTTTATTCTTCTTTAGCTCTATATAGATGAAATTAGGATTAATAGGACCAGAATTGTAAGGGTAGACTACGAAATCGTTAGGCTAAATACCCTACTCCTTAAGGAGCGAGCGAAGACACTCTATATCTTTGCCTTAGAGTATAACGCGCTTAGCGTAAATAGCCAAAAGGTTAGCCGCTAGAGGAGATAAGTAAGTAAGTAATTAATTAGAAAGAATAAGAAATAGGAAGACTTATAGGTAAAGATTCTTACTAAGAGAGACTTAGTATATTCTTAAAGAACGCTAAGAGCGCTTACTTGAATACGAAGAGGTATATAAGCCTAATCTATAACGAGCTCCTTAATAAGTCTAGCAAATAGAGTTTTCTTAATATAGAGTAGGCTCTCCTTCTAGTACTTCCTAATCTCTTTAAGAGCTAATACTTTAAGAAAGTTAGTGCCGACTACAAATACCGACTATAAATGCCGACTATAAGTGCCGACTACAAATACCGACTATAGATCTAGATTCTAGAATTACTTACTACCTAGGGTATATCTATATCCCTTCTTAATACGAGCGCCTAGAAGCTTTTTACTACCTATACGCGAAGGAAGTCCCTTTCTACTAGTACGAGGAGTCTTACGAGCGATCGATTGTTTGCGCTTCTATACAATCGATATAGCCGAGGCTATTGTAGTAGATTCGTACGCTAGTATAGTATAGTAGCGGTAGTATAGTATAGTATAGTAGTATAGTATAGTATAGTAGTATAGTATAGTATAGTAGTATAGTATAGTATAGTAGAAGTAGTATAGTATAGTAGAGGTAGTAAGGAAAGAGAGAAAGGAAGGGGGCAATATTAATATAGTAAGTTAGGTTTTTTCTAAAGTAGAGAGTAACTTTGTATTATTAGAAGACAACCGCTCGGCTAATTAGAGGCTACGGATTGTTTGCTATCTAAGTAATAATATATACGCACTTTATACGAGATCCAAATAAGGTTTTCGTATATAATCTTCAATTGCCGGGAGTAACCGGCAGGTACGGTTAGTAGGTACGGTCGGTAGGTAGGGTCGGTAGGTACAGTCCGTAGAAGCCCTCCTCTAGGTAAATAGGTAGTAAATATTATCGGAAAGTCTTATCGGTAGGAGTCGTAATTGTTCCTCTAAGAGATAGTCGGTAGATATAGTCC